CCAGATCTCATTGACAAAGTCCATCCCCTTCCACTGTATTTTGATTTCGGGTCAGTTCAGAGTAATTGGGCTGCTGTAAGTTACTATTCCCTGTAGTAACCTATGGATGTGAGAGCTGGACCTTAGGGAAGGCTGAGTGAAGGAAGATAGATGCTTTTGAACTGTGGTGTTGGAGGAAAATTCTGAGAGTGTCTTGGACCGCAAGAAGATCCAACCAGTCCATACTTCAGGAAATAAAGCCTGACTGCTCATTGGAGGGAAGGATATTAGAGGCCAAGATGAAGTACTTTGGTCACATAATGAGAAGACAAGAAAGCTTGGAGAAAACAATGATGCTGGGGAAAATGGAAGGAAAAAGGAAGAGGGGCTGACCAAGGGCAAGATGGATTAATGGTATCCTTGAAGTCACTGGCTTGATTCTGAAGGAGCTGGGGGTGGTGACGGCCAACAGGGAGCTCTGGCATGGGCTGGTCACAAAGAGTTGGAAGTGACTGAACGAATAGACAACAAGTTTTCTGGGCTGTATGGCCATGTTCTAGAAGCATTCTCTCCTGACCTTTCACCTGCATATATGGTAGGCATCCTCAGAGGTAATGGAATGCTGGAAATCCACACATCCATAGTTGTGTGGCATGTTACAACAATTATCCTGCTCTGAAATTAACTTGTATTAAGGGGAAAGAGGTAGTTATTTCTTTCAGGATTGAAAGAGTGAAGAGGATAGGCTAGCCCAGTGGTTCTCAACCTGTGGGTCCCCAGGTGTTTTGGCCTATAAGTTCCAGAAATCCCAGCCAGTTAACAGCTGTTAGGATTTCTGGGAGTTGAAGGCCAAAACATCTGGGGACCCATAGATTGAGAACCACTGGGCTAGCCTCATTCCAAAAGAGATTGTAGAGAACAGGGCCAAGAACACTGAAGCCAGCAAGATGTAGTTTCCTTGAAGTGGGTGAAATTGAGCACTATAGGCGAGTGGATAATTGGCCCTCCAGATCTTCCCACCTGGATGGCAAACGGGCCAATTCACTTCCAAAGCTGGACAGCTACCTTTGCCCACCCCTGCTATACCTGAATGCTAGCTGATGCACGGCACATTCGATGACTGCAAGCCATCCCTATCTTTGGGGAAAGTGAGGCACCTGCAGTAGCTGATCTTGGCTATCATAAAAGTATATCAAATTGTTATTTGTTATTCAGTTTTTAGTGCAAGGGAGAAGCACTATTGCTTATTTCTTTATTTAGTTACAGTACTTATATTCCACTCTTCTCACCCTGTAGGGGACTCAGGGCGGGTCACAGAACACATATATGGCAAACATCCTAGGCCAATTATATAATGACAAGACTGACAACAGATAGAGGTACATTTAGGCTTTTTCTCATTATTTGCCATCTTTTGGAGGCCTTGCTCGGTTCCGGTCACAGGTGGTGCTGTCGCTCCATCTCCTTGCCGAAGAGTTATGTTTGTAAACTTTCTTCCCAAATGCCCTATGCCTTAAATAGGTAAAGGTAAAGGTAGTCCCCTGACATTAAGTCCAGTCATGTCTGACTCTGGGGTGTGGTGCTCATCTCCATTTCTAACCCCGCCGAAATCAGTCTCCTTGGTTCACCGAGGAACTTCGACTGATGAAGCGGGAAAAGAGACAGCTGGAGGGCGTGTGGCGAGAACTCCGTGACGGAGCATCGAGATCAGCTTATGAGGCATTCAGGGAATCCTATGAGCATGCTATCACTGAGGCAAAGCGAGTATATTATGCTTCTTTGATAGCGTCTGCTAGCTCACGCCCGGCAAAATTGTTCAAAATAATTCGATCTCTAACGACGGTTCCTACCGTCCCAAAAAGTGGTGATCAGGCCCCTCCAGCCGAGGTTTTTCAGAGCTATTTTGCAGACAAGATCTCGCTACTTCGCCGGGACCTCCCCGCCACAATTGATACAGTGAGAGAACTTGAGACCCCGTGGCCACTTGCTGGGCCCATCCTCGACCGGTTCATCCCGCTGGATGCAGGGGCTGTCGATAGGCTTATAGCTGCAGCTAGACCGACCACTTGCTCCCTCGATCCGTGTCCCTCTTGGTTGGTGAAATCCTGCTTGGAGGGATTACGTGACCCCCTGTTGAAGATCATAAACAGCTCCCTTGAGCAAGGAGTCTTTCCAGAGGGTTTAAAAGAGGCGGTGGTCTCTCCTTTGCTGAAGAAACCAGATTTAGATCCCTCGGTTCCCTCCAGTTACCGCCCAGTTTCAAATCTCTCGTTCCTGGGCAAGGTGATTGAGAGGGCAGCAGCGGAGCAGTTGCAGCAATTCCTAGACGACACAGCCGGACTAGATCCCTTCCAATCCGGCTTCCGTGCGGGGCACGGGACAGAGACTGTGGTGGTCTCCATCACGGATCACCTTCGATGCCAGCTTGACCAGGGCGGGTCAGCGCTGCTTGTGCTATTGGATCTCACAGCAGCATTTGACACAGTCGACCACAATCTCTTGACCCACCGCCTTGCTGTTGCTGGAATCAGGGGGACAGCTTTAAACTGGCTGTCCTCCTTTCTTCACAACCGTGGACAGCGAGTGGAGAGGGGAGGCCTGGTCTCTGAGAGGTCCCCTCTATCTTGTGGAGTTCCTCAGGGGGCCATTCTCTCCCCTCTGTTGTTTAACATCTATATGCGACCACTTGCTCAGCTGGTTCGAGGTTTTGGGCTTGAGTGTTATCAATACGCCGATGACACTCAGCTGGTGCTGAAGATGGAAGGCCGACCGGACTCTGCACCCGATTGTTTCCATCAGTGCCTCGAGGCCGTGACTGGATGGCTGCGTGCCAGCAGGTTGAGGGTGAATCCAGCAAAGACGGAGATCCTATGGCTGGGTGGACCGGGCAGTGGGGACATCCATCTGCCCACCCTGGATGGTGAGGCGTTACGCCCGTCATCATTGGTAAAGAGTCTGGGAGTCCTTTTGGACCCTCTGCTGACAATGGAGGCCCAGGTCTCCGCCGTGAGCAGAACCGCCTTCTTTCACCTGCGGCAGGCTAGACGGCTGGCCCCCTACCTGTCCAGGGACGACCTAGCTACGGTGATCCAGGCCACAGTCATCTCAAGACTGGACTACTGTAACGCCCTCTACATTGGCCTCCCTCTGTCGGTGATTCGGAAGCTCAAGTTGGTACAAAACGCAGCTGCTCGGCTTCCTGCGGGAATTCCGATGAGATGCCACATAACACCAATCTTACTACAGCTGCATTGGTTACCAATTGAGCACCGGATCACTTTCAAAGTGATGGTACTCACCTTTAAGGCCTTGCATGGTCTGGGGCCAATGTATCTGAGGGATCGTCTCACCCCCTACCAACCCCAGAGATCCCTCCGTTCTGAGGACCAAGATCTATTGGAGGTCCCCAGTGTCAAGACCTTGCGTCTAGCGGCAACCAGACGCAGAGCCTTCACAGCAGTGGCGCCATCAGTCTGGAATGCTCTGCCACCTGAGGTTCGTGCCCTGCGGGACTTACCAGCTTTCCGCAGGGCATGTAAGACATACCTGTTTCGACAGGCTTTTAATGTTTGATACTGTTGTTTTTAAATTGTTTTAAATTGCTTTTAAATTTTGTTAGATTTTAGCCATTCTTGTAAGCCGCTCCGAGCCCCAGGGGAGTGGCGGCATATAAGTTTAAATAATAAATAAATAAATAAATAAAATAAGCCGAAGACCCAGCGTTGTCCATAGACACCTCCAAGGTCATGTAGCCGGCATGACTGCATGGAGCACATGCCTTAAATACCTCCCCAATTAATGTGGTTCCTATTCACCTCACATTGCTGTTTTCCATCTGCTAAGTGGGTGAGGGAGCTGGGCTGAAGGTCAGGCGCTCACCCTGACCTGGCTTTGAACTGTCAACCTTTTGGTTGGCAAGATTTACTGCAGCTGCAGCTGGTGATTAACCTGCTGTGCCGAAATAACAGCCAGCCAGCCTTGGTGACTATGAGCCTTGGGTTGATGGTTGGGAGGCCTTTGATCAGGCATATACCAAACTGCTGGCCACAAAGGGCTCCAGCCTGAAGGAAGCAGAGTACCTGCGTCAACAAGACTTCAGTTGTTTGTGTGGACGTTCATTCGTTTTTGTCTAGTCACCGAGGAAAGATAACGAGTTAAATTTCATTCCTCATCCCAATTAAAGTGGACATATTGAATCAATGGGGCATGTGTTTTGTGCCAACTTACTGTTCAGTAATTGATCCAGTGCATCTATGCTAATTGGGACTAGTAGTTGGAGTTAGGCCTCTGTCGACATGTTGAGCCCCTATTTTCCACATATTTCAGACACTAGTTGGTATCATGAAGGTTTAGGGAACAGATCCAGACCTGATAGAAGAGCAGTGGCTTTATAATGGACAGGCATTGTTAGGATTTCTTTGGACAGCCACTGAGAAGCGTCAGTGTGTTGGATGAGGACTGGTGGCTGGCATCCCTCATCCCCTGGCTGCCTGCCAGTCACACACTCTCAGCCTCAGAGGAAAGCAATGGCAAAACCTCTGAAGTCAGGGTTGCCAAGAAATCCAGCAAGAGGGTTGACTACAAGGTGATGCGTCAAGACTTTGAGAAGCATGTGCATACATCCCTTATCCATAGGCATCAGCTTCCCTCCATGAAGAACAGGGTGTTTTTTTCCAAGCTGCTTTGGGCTGCAACTCCTCATAGACTATGTTGGCAAGGGCTCATGGGAGTTGTAGTCAGCTTTTGTTTGGTCCTGCCCTTAAGAGTCATGGGCAGACAAGAAATAAAATGCAACAGATACAGGAAGAGAGGCTTTCTTCTCCGTATTTCGAGAGGACCCGGGCCTGATTGACGGGGCTGGGCATTGAGGGGGAAGAGCATCCTTCTGGAAGAGGGGTCCCGCCTACACCGGCCATGGAATGCGCTTCGAAGCCGGCTTCCAGGCGACAAACTCTCCCCCCCCCCCCCCCGAGAGCGCGTGAAAGCCAGCCCTTTCCGCGGCTCGTCGGCGCTCCGTGGTTTGCGCAGCCCCTCCCCTCGGGGCCCCGAACCGAGCCCAGGATTCCCTGTGGAACCCACCCACAACTGGCCACCGAATGCAGTTCCAAAGCGGTGCGGAGGAACTCCTCGGCTTGGCTGCGCGGACGGACACCCGGCTCAACCCCGGAACCAGTTGGGAGGCCCCGAGGGTGCGCACTGAGGCGCCTGCCAAGGCTTTCTTTCCAGCGCTTTGGGGGGAGTTGGCTCTCCTGGCCCCGCCACAGAGGGAGCCGGAGCGGGAAACTTCCCTTGGCCGCCTTCTTCTGCGAAGTCCCGCTGTCCCAAAGGGAGGAGGAGGAGGAGGAGGAGGAGGAGGGTGGGCCTTCTGAAAAGGAGGGAGGGAAGGAGGGAGGGGGCGAATGGCGCGGCTCCACCTTAAGCGGCGCAGAGCAGGGAGGCTCCGGGAGGGGAAGGAAGAGGCGGAGGCAACAGCGCCTCCTTAAGCGGCTCGCGGGTCCCGCTCGGGCGGTGCTGCTGCTGCTGCTGGTAGAAAAAGAGGAGGAGGAGGAGGAGGCGGCGGCGCGTGCGGCTGAAGGGAGGGGGAGCGAGGAGAGGAGGGAGCGAAGAGGGAGGAGCTCGCGCTGCCCGGACCAGCCCGCGCGCCACTGCCACTGCCGCCGCTCCTTTTCCTCGCGGCAGCAGCAGCGGCAGCAGCGGCAGAGGAGCGCCTCTACTTGGCGGCGCGCGCTGAGGCTAAGGCCGAGGCGGAGCGGCGCGCGGGGCCCGCGGAGCCCCCAAAGGGAGGGAGGAGGCGGCGTCGGCGGCCCTTCCCCCTCCTCCTGCTTCTCCTCCGCCTCCTCTTCCTCGGCCATGGCGGGCCCCGCTCCCCCTCCGCCGGGCCAGGAGGCGCCCCGCTACCAGGAGTGGATCCTGGACACCATCGATTCTTTGCGCTCTCGGAAGGCGCGCCCGGACCTGGAGCGCATCTGCCGCATGGTGCGCCGCCGCCACGGCCCGGAGCCCGAGCGCACCCGCGCCGAGCTGGAGAAGCTCATCCAGCAGCGCGCCGTGCTCCGCGTCAGCTACAAGGGCAGCATCTCCTACCGCAACGCCGCCCGCGTCCAGCCGCCCCGCCGCGGGGGCACGGCGGCCACGGCAGCGCCGCCCAACGCCACCAACGCCAACGCCGCCGCCCCGCAGCAGCAGCAACAGCGCCCGGCCCGCGCCTCCCCGCCCAGTGCTGCCGCCGCGGCGCCCCGGTCTTCCCAGCGCGCAGCCCCCGCCACACAGCCACAGCCGCCGCCCCCTCCGCCGCCGCCTCCGCCTCGTCGGACCGGACGGGAGCGCCCCGCGCCGCCTGCCCCCGCCTCCTCCTCCTCGTCGTCGTCGTCTCCCTCCCCGGCGCAGGAGGAGCCCGCCCCGGTCAGCCTGCGGGAGATCGCGCGCTACTTGGGCGGCGAGGGCGGCGCCGCCGCCTCCGCCTCGCCCTCCCCGGGGCCCGGCCGGGTGACGAGGGGCCGCGCGCAGGGGCTGCTCCTGCTCCAAGAGGAGCGCCTCGACAAGAGCCGGCTGGGCGGAGGGAGTAGCGGCGGCGGGAACAGCGCCCTCGCCTTGCCCAGGGCGGACTCCAGGGGCGCGCAGGCCCGGGCGGCCGCCCCCGCCTCCTCCTCCTCCTCCAGGGCGCCCAGGAACAAGGTGAGGGAGACCCCAGGGGAGGGAGGGAGGGAGTGCGCGCGCAGCCCAGGAGCAGCGGGGGGGGAGTCACCGGCCGCTGGGAAGAGCCGCTTTCTTTCGCTCTCCCTCCCTCCCTCCCTCTCCTGTAAGGGAAGGGGGAGTGCCGGCGACCGCCGCCCCCTCCCCTTCCTCCTCCTCCCTCGAGCGCCGCCGGCGCGAGCGCAGGTGTGCGCGTGTCTGCCTCCCTGTTCGCCGGGGAGAGAGAGAGAGAGAGGGAAGAGTTATGGGCAGCGCCCAATCACATCCTTTGGCCAACTGGAGGGGGCGCCGGGATTGGTGACTGCGTTTAAAACGGGGCAACATGCTTCCCAGAAGTATTCTGGGAAAAAGAACTCGTGTCTCTGTGTGTGTGTGTGTGTCTGTTGTGCGTGCGCGCGCGCCTGGAGGATTCCCAAGAGGGAAAGGGGGCGGGAGGAAGCTTGGAGGGGGCGGGAGCGAGCGCGCGGTCCTTCCAGAGGTCTTCTCGCGCGCGCGCCCTCTCTCTCGCCTCCCCCCCCCTTTCCTCAGTCTCGCGCGTGGCCCTCCAGCTTTTTTTTGCCGTTGGGCCCAGAACAGCGCCCCTTCCTCCCCGCCACCGTGCCAGGCTCCGTATATAAACACAGACAGAACAAAGAGTCAGTCTGTCTTCGACCTAAAGGGTTCTGTGCGGGGGAGGGGGTTGTTAGTGAGGGGAAGGGGGTGGGGAAAGGAGGAACACAAAAGGGCGAAGAAACAAAAATCATGTGCTTGCTGCTGGTCAGGATGGTGACCTGCAACCCAATCTAATAAGGAGCACAGCTGTGATCAAGGGGTGGCTAGTGAGGTCTAGTCAATAAGAAAAAAAAAAAGGAAGCCTCCTTTTCGTTCTTTCCAGAATTTCCAAGCAAGTTTGCTCTGACAAAGCTGGGCAGAGAGATGGTGTCCAGGAAAGTTCGATGTCTCCTTAAATCTCCCTGGCTTTGGAACAGGCCTGGGCAAACTTGCCCCCCCTCCCCAAGTATTTTGGACTTCAACTGCCACAATTCCTAACAGCCTCAGGCCCCTTCCTTTCCCCCCTCAGCCACTTAAGCTGAGGGGGGAAAGGAAGGGACCTGAGACAGGGATTGTGGGAGTTGAAGCCCAAAACAGCTGGAGGGAGTGCCTAAGTTTGGCCATGCCTGATTTGGGGGCTCCTACCCCGTTGAGGGGAGCATCAGAGCACAGGACAGTATCGCAGGGAGGCCCTTGCAGAGGCTCAAAAAGCTTCCAATCCAGAATTGCTGATTCAAACATGACCTGCCCCCAAACAAATTAGTTTGATCAGAGAAAAGAAGCTGAAGTGAGACTGATTGAAGACAATAATACTTGGACACGAATGATTGCCAATTATGATGATGATAAGGACAAGCTATGTCTCAGATTATATAGTGCAGGCGGAAGCAAAGTGGGCTTGGAAAATGAGATTTGTCATCAGTACTAATGTTACATTGTATATGTTCATTACAACGTTAGCTCAGGCATGGGCAAACTTGGGCCCTCCAGGTGTTTTGAACTACAGCTCCCACAATTCCTAATAGCCAGTAGGCTGTTAGGAGTTGTGGAAGTTGTAGTCCAAAACATCTGGAGGGCCCAAGATTGCCCATGCCTGGGTTAGCCCCATTGTGTTCATATATATATGACTACAATTTAAAGCAACCAAAAGACCAAAGTGGGAATCATGGGGTTCTCCAGAAATCATTTGACTGCAATTCCTAGCAGTCCTATCCAGCATAGCCTGTGGTGAGGAGTGCTAGGGATTGCAGTCAAGTAACATCTAAGGGGCTGCCCTTTACCCACCTGTCTGCAGCTCCCCTAGATGAAAGTGTCAACATAAGACGAGCACAGAAAAAAGCTTGAAAGCTAAAATGTGAAGAGGAAGGGTTCGTTCCTAAATTGGGGCCTGTGGAAGCAAGAGGTGGGTTATTTTCCTTGTTCTTCCCATTTCCTCTTGTTAACATTTGTAGAAGGTTGGTGAGGAGGTCAAAGGTGAAGAGGAAGAGGAGGACGAAGAGGAAGAAGAAGAGGATGAAGTCTCCACGATGTCAGAAGGCTCAGAGGTGGCACAAGAGTATGAGGCCAACAACTACACCCGACCTGGGATTGGCCAGCTGAACGGGGACTGTAAGGACAGCAGACATGGCGGGAAAGAGATTCTGCCCAGCAGTGGCCTCAACAGAGACCTGCGCTCCCTTGAGGAGCTGCCCTTGAGCAAAGGATTGGAGCGGTCCTACCATGAAGGAAGCGGGCCATGCCACACAACAAAGGCCTCTTGGCTGGGAGAAAGTGCCTGTCGTCATCTGGGAAGTGGCAAGAAAGAGAGCAGTGCTGCCTACCAGCAGCCAGACAGAGCAGGTATGGGGTGGACAGAGAATTGTGGGTGGAAGGGGCCTGGGAGGATACTGGTCAATCTGGGCTCTCCTGGAAAACCTGCAGGAGGAGCAGGAAGGAGTAAGCAGAGGGTGCTTGCAGAGAGACCCATTGGGGTGGTAAGGATCCTTGTAATGGAATATTTTTTTCTTGTTCAGTAGACTGTGGAATAGAGTCTTGAGAATTGAATAGGGTGGGGGGAGTCCACATCCCTTTGCAGATGAATAGGGGTGAACTGAAATTGGCGGGGCTGGCATAGGGCCCTCGTGGAACAGGAGGGGCTTATAATTACCTTATTTCACCTATTACAAAGTGCATTTTTTCTTGTTTTAGAGCAGTGGTTCTCAACCTTCCTAATGCCATGACCCCTTAATACAGTCCCTCAAGTTGTGGTGACCCCCAACCATAACATTGTTTTTGTTGCTACTTCAGAACAGTCATTTTCCTACTGTTATAAATCATAATATAAATATCAGATATGCAAGATGTATTTTCATTCACTGGACCAAATTGGGCACAAATACCCAATGCACCCACTTGTAAATGCTAGTGGGGTTGGGGGAGGATTGATTTTGTAATTTGGGAGTTGTAGTTGCTGGGATTTTTAGTTCACCTATAATCAAAGAGCATTCTGAACTCCACCAGCGATGATTTTGAACCTAATTTGCCGCACAGAACTGCCATGGCCAACAGAAAACACTGGAAGGGTTTGGTGGGCATTGACCTTGAGTTTGGGAGTTGTAGTTCACCTATATTCAGTGAGCACTGTGGACTCACGCAATGGTGGATCTGGACCAAACTTGGCACAAATACTCAATATGTGCAAATGTGAACACTGGTGGAGTCTGGGGAAAATAGACATTGACTTTTGGCAATTGTAGTTGCTGGGATTTATAGTTCACTACAATCAAAGAGCATTCTGAACTCCACCAACGATAGAATTGGCTCAAACTTCCCACATGGAATCCCCATGACCATCAGAAAATACTTGTTTTCTGATGGTCTTTGGCAACCCTTCTGACACCTCTTCGTGACCCCCACAGGGGTCCTGACCCCCAGGTTGAAAAACACTGTTTTAGAGGATCCAAAAACAGGGTTCACATTGCAATCAGTGGCATTTCGGATTCCCAGAGTTTGGGCTTTGTTTTATTGGCTTATCTCCAAGGGAAGAGAGGAGGAGGAGGGTCCCCAGCCACAGCAACTCTCCCAGAACTCATCATTTGTCCTCAACCAGTTTGCTTTTTACCAGTCTGGTCAAGCAAAGAATCACTTCTTGTTTCCCTTGCTTCTCCAACATGTCCATAGAGCTAGGAAAATAGAGTGATGCTGACAACATGACTTCCGAGTTTCTTCACACCCCCTCCTCACTCAACAGAAAAGATCATACTACTAAGTCAACTTGAAACCAAAACAAGTTATTGTGTGTGCAGAGGCAATTCTAACATATTATATAAGAAATTCGTATTTTTCTACAATGGAAGTTTAAAGGCAGTGCAGAGGGGTGGGGGTGGGATGTGTGTCTTACAGTCTATGGCACCCTAGATTCGGTGAAATACAGTAGTTTCATCAATGAGTTGCAGTGAACTAAAATTTAAAGTACTCATATTCCTTCTTCACAACTCCAAGGGTTACTTGATGAAGCGGATTACCTAGATCCATTTCAGTCTGGTTTCATGCCTGGTAGTGGGACAGAGACAGCATTGGTCATCTCCATGGATGACATACACAGAGAACTGGACAGGGAGACTGTGTCCCTGTTGGTTTTCCTGGACCTTTCAGTGGTTTTTGATATCATTGACAATGATACCCTTCTGAGTCACTTTTCTGGGATGAGGCTTGGAGGTACTGTTTTTCAGTGGCTCCCTCTCAGAAGGTGATGCTGGGGACTCCTGTTCGACTTCTGTGGGGTTGCTCAGGGCTCTGTGTTGTTCAACATATACATGAAACCACTGGGAGAGGTCATCCGGAGTTTTGGAGTGCAGTGCCATCTATACGCAGATGACACCTAAACATCACTCCTTTTCACTAATTTCCAATGAATTAGGTGGAATTCCATGGAAGTGCCTAGCATCTGTAATGGACTGGATGGGGGCAAACAAATTGAAGCTTAATTCACACAAGACAGAGGTACTCCTGGTCAGTCATAAGACAAACCTGGGAATAGAGATTCAGCCTGTTTTAGATGGGGGTCACACTCCTCCTGAAAACGCAGGTTCACAGTTTGGGAGTACTCCTGGATTCGGCTCTGAACCTGGAGGCCCAGGTATCAGCAGTGACCAGGAGTTCTTTTGCATAGTGAAAGCTAGTGTGCCAACTGCTCCAGTTTCTGGAGAAGTCGGACTTGGCCATGGTGGTACATGCCTTGGTTGCAACCTGGTTGGACTATTGTAATGCGCTCTACGTAGGGCTGCATTTGAAAAGTGCTCCGAAACTTCAGTTAGTCCAAATAGCAGTAACCAGATTGCTCACTGTGGCTGGTTACAAGGAGCAGACAACTCATCTGTTGCAACAGCTCTAGTGGCTGTTAACACATTTCCAGGCACAATTCAAAGTGCTGGTTTTGACCTGCAAAGCCCTTACAGTTCCAGTTATCCATATAATTTTCTATGAACCTGAGAGACATACAATCAGCTGGGGAATACATTCTCTCTCTCCCACCACCTGCTCAAACGTGTTTGCTGGGACCACAGGAGATGGCCTTTTCGGTGGCTACTCCCAGACTGTGGAACTCCCTCCCAAGAGAGACCAAGATGGCCCCATCCCTGCTGGCCTTCTGCCAGCAGGCACTTCGAGAAGAATAAGGGCATGCTGGTGGGAAACTGTTGATAGGATCTTGGGAGGTGGGGGAGGGTTGTGAGTTTTAAAGGCAAATTTAAGTGTATATATTATATTTTAGTCTGGTTTTTTTGCCTTAATCCTCACTGTACTATTTAATTGTTTTTTTTAATATTTGTATTGCGTTTTTTCAACTATGATTAAAGTGTGGGATTGTTCGCTTCCTTGAGTTTCCACAGGGAGAAAGGTGGGATATAAATAAAGTTAATAGTAATAATAATAATCTTTTCTTTTGCCAGTGTCACCAGCTGTTGCAGGTACTGATCCCTCTGTGCCCTCTTCTCCTGGGAGACCAGGCATCCAGGCAGATGGAAGACCATTCAGCTGCATGTAAGTTTTGAATGGACTAATGATTGCTGATTGATATATGCAACATATCTGCAGTCTGGAAGTCCATGCATTTGAAACAGACACACCATGACCATGACCACCCCTTGATTTTGAAATATAGAAAAGAGCACAGACTGTTTTCAGCAGTGAGTACAAGATAGTGACATCTAGAGGAGCTTATAGAATTAGCTCCTCTCTTAACTTGAACGTCTTCATGATGGCCTATCTTTATGTGATGATATTTCAGTGTTTCCCAATGTGAGCATTCCCTACAGTCTGTTGGATTACTGCTAACCTCAGTTCACCGTGCTCCAAATTCCTGCTTAAACTGTGGGTCCTGACTCCAAATAAGGTCCCCTTCGCTAAATGTTTAGGTCACAAAAACGTAGCAAAAATTAAAGGTTTATGAATGCCACCCACTTACACAAACTGTTAGCAACAGTGTGCAATGTTTACAGTGGAGTCTGCAGAAGACGTTTCAGCTGTACTCCACAAAAAGGAAAGTCAGCCTGTTTAGCAAGCCTTGCAAATGCTGATATCTTTTATGTAAATATTTGATTTTATACATATTTTATAATTCCTTTTACTTCGGGTCACATACAAAATCTTGAACAGAAAGGAGTCACAGGTGGAAAGTGTTTAAGAAGCCCTGGCTTAAATAACCTTCAGGTCAGTGTATTGTCATAGAAATCGTAGAACTGAAAGAAACCAGACAGGTCACCCAGTCTAACCTCCTGCCATGCAGGAACACCCAGTCAAAGCAGTCCCAACCAACCTCTGATTACAAACCTCCAGAGAAGGACACTTCACCACTCTCTGAGGCAGCAGCATATTCCACTTACTACCAAGAAGTTCTTCCTAATGTTTGGGTGGAAGCTCTTTTCCTCCCATTTGAATCCATTGCTCCACATCCTAGTCTCTTGCCCCATCCTCAATATGACATCTTTTCACATATTTAAACATGACTTTTCGGGTCCCCTGTCAACTTTTCCAAGCTAAACATATCCAGCTCTCTCAGCTGTTCCTCAGAGCTTGGCTTCTAGACCTTTGATCATTTTGGTCACCCTTCTCTAGACATGGTCCAGCTTTTCAGTATTTTTCTTGAATCTTAGTACCTAGAACTGTAATATACTTTATGTGTGATTGCTTTTGAAAATCCTTCAACAACTGCAGCTAGCATAAAATATGGCTGTGAGATTGTTACCATTGGGTGATATTGTCATATTACATGATTTATTAACTACACTATTCTCAGGCCATTTCAGCTGAGAGTGCTGTATTCAAATTCTTGTGAAGTCCTTCACATCTTCAGATTGGGATACTTGAAGGACCATATCACTTCGTTTGTACCCATATACAAAGCTTGGAAAAATTGCTTTGGCTATTAGTCATATTAGTTAGAGGGTTGGAGGAGTGTTATTGTTGTGTATCTTCAATTAATTACTGGCTTATGTTCTGACTTATGACAACCTTACAGCAGGGTTTTCCTGGTAAGATTTCTCCAGGGTGGGGCTATCTTTGTCTTCCTCTGAGGCTGAAAAAGTTGCCAAGCGAGGATTCAAACTCTGCAGAATTGTATTCCAACGCTTTAAATGATACACCACTCTGGCTCTCTTTGGAAAGTTATAGTCCTAAAAAAGTAACTTTTCTAGACTCTAATGATGTATTGCAATCTTCAGTAGAAGACTTCTTGTGGCCATTATAGCAGTTTTCAGTTGAGTTGGTCAGCCTCCACAAATAGGACATGATGGAAAGTGATATCCAAGTTTTTGAACATTCTCCTCAGAAGGACTTCCACTGTTGTGCCATTTCTCATTAGAACCTTTGTTTCTATGCTGCTGTTACAGTTTTGTGACATTTACATTTCAATTGTTTTGCACTTCAATTACACTTCCATTGTTTTATTCTTTAAAAATGTTCCTAGGAATGTAGTGGAAGATTGATACATAACATAAATAAATGTTATTTCAAGGTGGTCATAGCCTTTTATAGAAAAAAAATCTGATTGACTGAAGTGCGTTTTGTACCTTCAACATCTGGAGTGTGGAAAGCATTGAATCTGTTTCACTTTCATCTTTCTTCTCTATCTCCTTGTAGCTCAGTGAAGGAGAAGCCTTCTGATCCAGTGGAATGGACTGTGAGCGATGTTGTGGATTATTTCACAGAAGCTGGATTTGCCGAACAGGCATCTGCCTTTCAAGAGCAGGTGAGGAACTCTGGGATATGGAGGGGAAAATTTGGGGATTTATGCTCATACTAAACATTCAGTGAGATGCACAACTTTGAATCTTGGGGGGAAGGATTTCAGTGTTTTGTGAAGCAACAACTGATAATACATGTGTGCCTTACTTTCCTTGTAGACTGTTCATATGTAAAACTCAAACCAGGGTGCCTCAAAAGAGCAGTTACATTACCTTCTTACATGTAGAGAACTTGTCTTCTTGAAGCGTTTCTTTTCTAAACAATGGAAGGGCTTGTATCATATTGATATGCCACCTCACAAAATAGCACCAACATACCATATACAGTTTTGTTCATGTATCAAGCCCAATTGTGATAGTAACAACCTGCAAGCAGTCAAATCTCCCTTATGATCTCAGTTTTAAGCCCTTTAAAAAGTGGGTTACACTTCTGGAAAACAGCGGAAGTAAGTGGTTGATGATGGATTACTGTATTGATAATCTTCAACACTTTAAAAAGCATCATTCATTTTGAAAACTGAGGTCTTGAGAGATGATAGATTGGCCATGTAAGGCCTAGTTAATAGCTAAACCTAGTTGCCTTGGGTTCAGGCCCCAAGAAATTTCTGATAGTTCAAACATGGCACATCCACATCCAGTTTGATGTATGTTCACATCAGAATTTGTATTCTTCTACTTCCTCCTGCACATTCCTTCACTGAGGAAGCTCATTGGGTCCCTGTCCCACAGCTCTTTTCTCTTGAAAGCAGGATATTTTCTGCAGGCAGTTACCTAAGCCATAGCACTCCACACCAATCCATATGTCCTGTTGTGATCTGTATTATCTAAAACAGAGTTTCTCGAACTGTGCTCCTCCAGATGTTTTGGAATTCAGCTCCCACAATTTGTAGCTGGCTGGGATTTCTGGGAGCTGAAGTCCAAAACATCTGGAGGAGCACAGTTTGAGAAACACAGTTGTAAAGGGCAATCTGACTTTCTTTGGGGTGGGAATCAAAAACATCTTTGAGGCTCTGCTTCAGAATTGTTCCTATTCTGTCATAGTCTTTAGGATGTTCAAAGATCTGAGCATTTTCTAAACACTGATAGGGCACTGAGCTTATTTCTGTATGTTAGCTGCTGGCAACAACCATTGGAGCTGTCAGTTTTGTCTGGTTTTGACCCCTTTCATACACATTTTAAGAATGGTGATATGGGCCTTAAGATAGGTTAAAATGCCTAAGTGGAAAAAAGTAATTGCAGTCATTTAGATACTAGAGCACCTTTCTCCCTTGCCAAATTCTCAAAGTGCAGCAAACCCTAACTTATTTGACAGATTAGTGACCGCAGTACTGTTACAAAGTGGATTGGTTGGAAAGTGGCATCTGGATTGTTGTAGCTTGCAAATGCATTTTGTCTGCCGAAAAACGTAAATAACTCACTACAATATATCGTAGTGTGTATGTGTGATTCCCTAGCAAGCTTCATAGACAAGAAGGGACAAATGAGTGGACCCCCCATCAAAGCAATGGACCATGTATGTGATTTGCAAACGTTTAAAGAGCAAATCAAAAGAGCAAGTGAGGCATCCAAAGGTGGGGGAAGCTGGCAGCATCTTAATGCCACTTCATTCAACCAGATATGGACATTCACCACTGTTTGCTAGAAAGGCTGTTGGGTAGAGCAGGGTGTTGAATTATAGCGGCGAGTCCTTGGACCTTACTCCTCTGACATGTTTTGCCCCTATTGCTTTCCCTACAGGAGATTGATGGGAAGTCTCTGTTGCTGATGCAACGCACTGATGTGTTGACAGGCCTGTCCATCCGTCTGGGTCCTGCCCTCAAGATCTATGAATATCACATCAAGGTGCTGCAGCAGTGCCACTTTGAAGAAGATGAGGGTGATTCCTTCATGGGCTGAGGAAAATGGGCGCATTTTGTGATGGGGTGGGAAAGGGGGACATACTGAAATGTAACGTGGACTCCTCCAGCTGCTACTCTCTTAGTCATTTCAACCTCCCTCTGACTTCTTGAGAGCAAGACAATGTCAATGTAGGAAGAGCAAAAACTTTAACCAGATGTGAGAGTAGGGAAGCAGAAATGATGAACACACTGGCCTTAGGCCTTTTGAACCTTGATTGACCAGAAGGGGCAGAAAGGCAAGGTTGGGAGGCCTGCAAAATCATTTTCTTCTCCTGCCCTGTATTATCTATTCCAAGCTGTTTTCACTTACCATAGTGCATTGTCTGTATTGGGAAAGGTAGGAGAGAAGTATGGTTTTGTTCTCCTCTTCCCAGCCTCAATTTAATTGAGATAGTATGTGCTTCAGCTTCCCTCTCTGCTTTCCCTGCTCCCATCACAGTAGCACTTGATGGCTGGCCATAGCTTCCCCCTTCCTTTTGCTGTGATTGACAAGACAAAAATAGAGCCTGTTGGAGGTGTCAAAAGGTTTTAATCAAATACTTTATTCTCTTTTCTGTTTGGGTAGGCTTTTCTTCCAGTTTCCATGGTCATTACCCAAAGTCAACTGCTTTTTATTATTATTTCTTCCTTCCCATTTGAAAAAAATATAAATATTTAAACTGGAAAAAATACCTGATTGGTTTAATAATCCCAGAACTGTCAGTTTTGTTGAAAAGGTTAACAGGATATGCATTTAAGGGATAGATGTGTGCATGTAAGGAAGGTGGAAGTTCTGCATTCTGCTTGTGAGGAAGGAGTGTCATCTGGTGGTGTTGGTAATCAAATGTTTGATTTTTTTCAAGGGAAAGGGCTAGAAAGAGGGGTATAAAGCCTATTCTGCCTACTCTTGAAGGAATTCTGAGAAATCCTGAGGAATTCTGACAGCTTCCAGTTTTGCAATTGACTGGAGAGTTAAAGTCAATTAACCAGAATGATGACAGAAGGAATTATAATTGTCACATACACAAATACACAGCTCAGGTAGTACTCTTACATAGCAGCTATAGCAGTCCACATCATCATCATTATAAATGCTTTGTTTTTTTAATGAGTGGGAAGGACAACTGGTCAGGAACCTTATTCTCTGTGAAGGAAACAAATAGGTGGTAGGTTTTGTTACCTAGGAATGAGCCTCCTTTTTTCACTCTAGTCAGAGTCATGAAGGTAGGTCATAGGAATATGAGGTGCTGGTGCAGCATCCATAGTAAAATGTGTTCCTTGGCAAACAGCTTGTAATAAAACTGTTCTGTTTGCTGAGGAAATACCTGGTAATCAAATTAATGTGAAGCTAATATAACTGCAATAGCTTTGCATAAAGAATGCTAAGAATCAAAACTTCGCTGAGGGTGCTGACAACTCTTGTTTATCAGATATTGGAGCCATATAAAGACCTTCATTTCCCAAGGGTTTCTTGTTTGGGAGCTGTGACAGATGAAATCTGAAACTGGTTTAAATATGAGATGTAGACAGGCCTTTACTATAATGTGATAATTTATGGAGTGGGCAGTTCACCTGCCCTGCTCTATTGTTCACAGAACACCCAGAATTTTATGTAGCTAAGATACCTCTTCCCTATGCATTCCTAGAAGAGTGCAGAGGTAAATAGGACACACACTAAATTTATGTTTTCATTTTTTTTTCTTTGGAACCAGGAGGGCTAGAAACCTGCTGTTTTAAATTTGAAATCAGAGGTTCTCAATGTTGTAGCACAAAAGTGCCTCAGGGGCTTACATACTGTCTGCATGTTGCCCCCTATTGCACTAGACCCTATTATTTTGTCCAGAGCTGGGAATAAAAAAACAAGATTTTTGGGTTCTAACATGTCTTATCCCATGTATTTATTCTTTGCATTAGCACTCAGTTGTCCAAGGACAATGGTAGGGGGTGAGATACACTGTATGCACCAGAGTGGATGGCTAGTGCAGGTGGATCTTTGCTTTCATTTTGTCAGTGGTGGGACTGTTGAACTGAACATCTCTTTCAGTACACTATTGTTGACTAGACAGGACGAGAAAAGGAAGAAGAAGCAATGGGTGCATTAATGGTTTGTTTGTGCCAAAATTTAACCACAGATTATAAAGGGGTTTTGAAAATAATTTTATTTTCTAATTCTGGTTGTGATGTATGGCCAGTTAACCTGGACCTGTCTTAGGGCAGGAGAGAGCAAAGTATGGCTCTCCAAATGTTGCCAAACTGCATTTCCCATTGGTGAGAAGTGCAGGGAATTGCAATTCAATCAGCATCTAAAGAGCTGCACTTTGGCCTTCCTGGATTCAGTCCTCTGCCCGCCTTAATCTGGTTCTCTCATCCAGATTTCAATTAAATGGATGAATTCAGACAGTGCTAAGTTCCTCTGTAAGCCCCAGATAGAAGTACATTGTGTTTCTTATCCTGAAGATTTTAGTGTAGGGAAAACGCAAGATGAAGCTTTGCAACACAAACAGGATTGAGAGAACTCGTGAAAGAGCCAATACAGCTTCTAGGATTAGGCACCAATTTTTCACAGATGTTCTGTGGGGTAGCCTAACCTATGCTGGTTTCAAAACTCTTAGTAAAGTAAGTTCTCTGCGTGTTGAACTTTAACAGGCTTATATCATGTCTTTAGATCATAACAGCTCTTGGAAATGTGGAAGGAGAGATAGCCCCAACAAAGAACATGCTACATTGTCACTTGGGCATGTAGCAAATAGTTCACATTGCTTAATACAGCATGCTTTAAATACTCAGAAAATTGCATCTTACAGTGGGCAATATGTAAATTTTTGGTGTGTAGACCTCTAAGTAAAGGTAGATAAACACCAAATGCTTAGGAATCAATATGTGAGGAGGAAGAAATGGCAACATTTTAAATTCAGTGCCTGATCAGAAACTGCTGCATCACTTTGGTTGATTTGCCGTCCAACACGGATTTGCTACAAAAAAATCTGCCTTTACTCTGATGGAGTGGTGAAAGCTAGGTGCTGGGGCTCCTAGGATCACGCACTACCTCTCCTGTACAGTTGTTGATTGACTGAGTTAGAAGAAATTCCCCCAAACAGTTTTAAACTTGGGTTTCAATTGGCGAGCAAAATCACAAAGGCCTCTTGAAGCCATGTTTCATATAAGAAGTTGCAGAAGTGGGCTGCTGTAGAGGAAGGGAGTGAATGATGAAGCCAGCAGGGCACGTGGTGAAATATGAAACTCAGTGTGCTTATACATAGTAAGAAAAACATTTCATGAAACAAAGAGGGCCTATATTCCCATCTGAAGAAAACATAGGTGGCGGTGATTTTAAAAAGAAATATACATCTTTCAAATAGACTGCATGTAAATTCCCATCTATGCTTCAGGTTGCCCTTTTGCTAAAGGCCTGTCTAGTCCAGTTTCCAGATTGTTGAGCAAGGTAACCATAGGAAACCTCGAGCAGGACAAGGGCATATTTGCACCCTCATCCACCTGTTCCTTAGCCACTGGTGTCCACAGTAGGAGAGAAGATGCAGTCTTCATGCCTGGAAGCCATCAGTAACTGCCCCTATCAGAAACTACATGGAATAAAAATAACTCGGGGCTTGGACCCTCTTGTTTTTGGTGATGATAGCTGTCCCACACTTGCTTCCTCAGCTAGAGTTCGTGTTAAGTTTCAACAATGTTTTCTCCCATGTAGGACTTCTACCTATAAGTGGCTTGTCTGAATTTTTGTGCCTCTATCTACCTTTGCTATTTTCAGTGCCATTAGTATTTAAGAATTAAATAAAAGGAAGGAGAGTGAAAAGAAGAAACAACAGCACCTTTATGGCTATTTGGTTTTAATTTTGTTTGTGCTTTTGTGGATATAAACCCATTTCTTCAGATGAAGTACTGAATAATAATAAATGTTCAGATAAAAAGCATGTTTACATAGTTGTTGGAGTGGAATAAGACTGCATCCAAAGTGGTTTATGCCCACAAAAGCTAATACAAAAAAACAAATCAAAAAACAAAACCCTAGTTATTTTTAATACTGTTATGTTCCTTTTCTTTATTTTCTTCTTTTTATGCAGCAAGAGATTAATGTGGCTACTTTTTTTTAAAGTAGTCTGTCCTCCATATCCATGAATTCTTCACCCATGAACTCGCCTATCCACAGCTTTTCTTTTCAGATTTTTATGTTACTCTATATCTCCTCCATTTTGTATTATATTTGTTCAAATTGATTAAGCTTACTTCCATTTTTATTATTTTTACCCAATTTTGAACCATTGTTATAATTGAAACAGCTTGAAAACATTCTCCCTCACAAATCTGAAAGGCAAGCCTTGATTTTGCCATTTTATATTAGAGGTTCCATTTTATTATTTCACTGTATATAATGGGATTGAGTATCCACGGATTTTTGTATCTGCTGCAGGTCCTGAAACTAAACCCTAGTGGAATCAAGGGCCCATTGTATAGTATTTAAGAAGACATGAGTATTGAGGTGGGATTTTAAAAAGGGATCCTTTCAGAACAAGAGGCATTGATTTAGCTTCTGGCACTCAAGAGGTATAGAAACAGTACTGCCTGCAGCCACAACTTGCCTCCAAAATCCAGGATATTTCTCTGTAGTATTTGTTTTAGAAGACACACATATATCCATTGCTTATGGTTGAAACAACCATACTGCCCTTTAATGTGTGCCTTGTGACAAAGGGGCTGCCAAATTTGTCATCTAGGAGAAAACATAAGGATTTGCAGCTTTTCAAATAGTAAGTAAAAACAAATGTTTGGGGAAATGATGGAGATGTAAGAATTCTCTGTATTGTGGCGCTATTGTCGATTCAAGACAAAAACAAGGAAAGACTGTCCAATGAAGTATCTGTGTTTACTATTTTGGGTACCACACGCATTCATACGATAAGATTATCTCTCCTGAATCATCCTCAACCAATGTAGCCACCTGGCACGCTAGCTGTTGAAAATGAGATTTATAGTCCTGACAAGGTAAGATGGCTACCAACTGGGAAAACTGCATGTTCATAGGAATCTTTCTGGGTACCAAAATTCAGAATCCGAAAATATGGGGAAAGGACATTAGCTTTGAGTAGCTAGCAGCCTTCCTTGTGTGTAGAGCAAATAAAAGCAGTAGATTGGGATAGTTTTTATCAATATAAGAGCACTTACGAAACAACTGTGCATGGTAGGTGGCTGAAAACTAGGAATCCTGTTCACCTCTCCCAAGTAACAATGTTCTGAGTTGCCTGCCTCCTAGGTCTGTTCTGTAACATGGCCCTGGAAAACTGAAATGCCCAGACTGCCTGGCTGGAAAATTCTAAATAGAAGTGATTCCACTCTTAGATGGAGGTTCATAATAAAATCAAACAGCATCATGACTTTTCAGGGTGTTAGAAGAGAATAGTTATGTTTGTGTGCCTGAAGCTTCAAAGAGAAGACTGGGAGAGCATTTTAAATCCTCCATCATGCTGGTCTTTTTGAGTTTTTAACCTATGGAGCTTGCAGATGAGGTCAACTTTGAGCTTTGCAATTATTCTTCCACTATACTTGACAAATTGTCAACTGCTCATTGTGCCAGAGTGTTTGTCTTTGGCAACACAACACCATACACAGGGTGAGTGGGGAGGAAAATTTGGGTTACACGATCACTGGTAACTTCTGGCTCTTCTAAGATGATTCATCTGCTAAAGTGTAGGACCAGTTGCTCTTGCTGGAATCTTAGATTTCAAGCACTGCAGGGACGCATGACTCTTGCCACAAGTTGGTAAAATATTAAATCTTAGGTATGTTGGGGTACAAAAGAAAAACCCCTGAGGATGGAAATATCCTGTATGCTTCCCAGGATCTAGAAAATAGTAGTGGTAGTGAGAATAGTGACAACTCAAAAGTTACTTCCTGCCACAACAACGATCCCATCTGAAGGTTTTGATAGACTCCATGTTTGCAGGTCACTAGATCTTATGTAAAGTTTGCCAAATGTGCAAGATCTTGTAAAGTAGATGTTCATAATCTGCCCCCCCCCCCAAGTGTTGCACAAAATAAAGTTAATGCCTTGCAGTATAAAACAGAAGAGATAGCTTGAAGAGATAAGCATGATTGAGGCATGGAGGACTTCAAGCTACTGTCATTCCACCTCCTGGCTCCAGGTTAGCTTCAGAGTAGGAGCACTGGTGAGCAACCAGGAAGATCTAGTCTCCAAAATCCTTCAGCACCCATCTCCCCCACCTCTCTCTGGACTGCAGCTGTGCTTACATCTACTAGGGCAAGGCAGGGGGTGGTTGGGAGAGAACTCTTGGGGATCTTGCAATGCTCCTGATGTTCTTGGGCTGCAACTTCTAACCAATATGGAAAATGGCGTGGAATGCTGGGATCTGGAGTCCAATGTCTGGAGGGCTGCATGACCTCCTACTGTTCTATGTAGCATGCAGAGGTCACATCTTTGAAATGCTGCCCTAACTTGATTGCATACCAGCCTAATAGAATAACCAGAACTATGTCAGCAAGCCCTGATTTGCTCTTTTGAGCAAATAATCCTGATGGTCATTGGCTTGTAGTTGGCAGAGGACAGGCCAAAAGGATGAGGCACATCCATCTTCTGTGCTGCAGAAAACAAGGACTGCAAGTGCATAGTTGGTGGGCTAATTTAAGTTCTCTATGCTTCAAGTCACCCTGCAAATTTAAAACCAATTTAAGGAATCCAGAACAATAGGCTAGTGTGTTCACAATTTTAAAATGTACAGTTTATAAAGCTGAAATTACAGAATTGGAGAAGACGACTGTAATATTCAACTCGGACAGTAAACGGCTGGTATTAAAGTGTATCTGCTAAGGAGCCAGTTCTATCCTGGATAAAATTGGATAAAATCAGGACAGCTTAACAGCCCATAACAAGTAAGATTAGGGCTGAAACCACTTTCTCCAGCTTCAGAATGAGACCATTATATATTGTACTGCTGATCATAGACCTTCATTTTGAAGTATAGACAACAGAATAAACTCAAATGATTATCTTTATTTAGAAAAAACTTAAGAAATATCTACTATAATAATTTATCACTCATGATTTGCTATGTTACAGCAGTCATACACCTAAGATCAAGACCCTGCTACATTCAACAAAGCTTTTGTTTCCTACAATGCTACTGCACAACAATTCCAGCATGTAAATAGGGAAGACAAGTCAGACTCTGCGCAAAGCAGGTGCAGCAAAGAGGACAGAAATGTTGAGATGGAAGGCTCAAAATAAATAAAGCAACATAATGGAAGATGAGACATCCTTGGCAACAAAAAACTGGTGAACTTTTGACAGGGCAAGCATACCTTCAGTGGGCACCTTCAGATTCGGAAACCAAACAAGCTTAAAAGTCAAACTGGCCACTTGCCTTGAGCAAGGCATATTTACACTGTAGACAGCACAGTTTGACACCACTTAACTGCCATGCCCCAGTGCTATGACATCCTGGGAGTTGCAGTGCTGGTGCCTCACCAAACTAGAGAGCCTACGATACCATAGCATTGAGCCATGGCAGTTAATGTGGTGTCAAGCTGCATTATGTGTACAGTATAGATGCGCCCATAGTGGAAAAACCTGTCTCACTTGAACTTTTCTGGCAACATTTCTGGATAGCCTAATCTTCAGGCATTACAATATGTCTCCCAGATAATTTGAGACAATTTGTTGAGGGTATTCTGCAGCAGTAGGAAAAAAAAGGTGGCAGCTGGCTGTAGTGAAATGAAGAAACATACAGAAAAACTTACAAAGAACACGGCATCTTGGAGCTGCCTGGGAGATTAGGGATGGCAGTTTTATCTTATGCAATACTAGCAAGTCCCACATCACCAGAAGGTCTGTTCTAAGATCCCCCTCAAAAAGGAGTAAGCTAATTTCTCCAATAACTAAAAAATACTTAACATGACCTTTTATCTCCAAAGTGTAAGCCCAAGTGACTTCCTGCTGGGTCAGCAAAAAAGGAGGAGGTGGGGCCAGTTTGTTGCGGCTCAGAATTCTGTTCCTGAATTGTGGCAAATCTGTTTTATTGGAGCGGACTTTGCATGTGCTTTGCTCTGAGGCTGAGAGTGTGACTTGCCTGAAATCACCCAGTGTATTGCCATTGCTGAAGCCTGGTCTCTAGTTGTAGTCCTGCACTCAAATCACTTCACTGCACTGGCTCTCCTGGGATCCAGCTGCACAAAGGCTTTCGCCATGCAAGAGCACATTCTCCCCACTTGCAAATACCCATTTTTCCTGATGGAGGAAAGACAACAACCTCTCTCCAAGTGGCAATAGTCTGCTTCCTTCCTACTGGAATCAGGTGGAGGCAAGGGGACATTTTGAGCTTTTTTTGACATCCTAGCAGAAAGATTGCCTGATTTCTGTAACCAGGACTTTGAAATAAGCATACCCACAGCTCAAAGTCAATAAATCTGTTAGATTGGTGGTTCATATACAATAAGAGGTTAAACATGTGGCCTTCAGGTATTGCTAAACTCCGACTCCTCATCAGTTGAGCTCCAACAGCCACTAGTGGGCTACAGGTTCCCTATATCCTGTGGACAAAAGGCATTCCCTGTCTTTGAAAATTCAAATATCATATGCTAAATGCTCTTGTGAGCCAACGGCAGCAGAAACAAAAGAGGAAACAGGTATTTTCTCGCCTGGTGATAGCTCACAAGTGCTGAACTACAGTAGATGCAATAGCATGGAAGCCTCAGGCTGTGATCCAGAGGCAAAAGGGAAGGAGAAAATCCTCCATTTGCCAACCATCAACGACTCCAAGGCACTCCCATTAGTGTGCCAAAAACTACAGGAAGGATGTGTCAGGCCACAAGAGGCAGGACCTCCATGGAAGCAAATTCAATGGAAGGTCTCTACTTCCACCACAGTCCAGTCCCCATGTGGGGATGACATGTCCTCAGGGGAGAAGCTTGTCACTGAAGTGATGCTGGCCCGTGACTCGTCCAGAGGGGATATCAGTTCAGTCCATTTGCCAATATCTGCTTCGCTGCTCATTGCCCCCTTCCCACCGATAGCCCCAGAAAGCACCTCTGTGGGGAAGAGCAGTGACCGGCTGATTAGCTGCTGTACCACGGTGGCCTGGATGTTTCCTAGGTGAAGAGCCTGGTCTCGGGAGGCATTGCAGAAGCAGCGGCTCCCCTCCTCTTCATCCGGGCCTGGCGTCTCAGCACCACTTTCTACTTCGTAGATAGTGGAGAGGATCTCTGACGGACATGGTCCCCAGGGGAAGGGCAAGCCAGCCCCACTCTCACCTACAAACAGGGCAAGGAGCTTGGGTTGGAAAGAGCAGCCCTCAGGGGTGTGACAAACAAAGAGAGGAATAGGAATTGACAGACAAGCAACAGAAGAACAGGAGAATGGCCCCCACTCAGAATACAGTACAAGTTCAGCTAAGGCTGTCATTAAAGGAAGAGATCCCAAATCTACTTTTGCTTTTTAACTTCTTTGTTTTGGTTCCTAACGTAAGCTATCTAGTCACCCTCCACATTAGTCATAGTCAAATTTCTCAAGTGGTGAGGTGGGGTGAATTAGTGTGTACCAAATTTCCAGAATTTAAGCTAGTATCAAGGTTTGTTCTAAATCTTACCTCTACATTTAAGTCAGACATGGGAATTTTCACATTCAAAGTCCATGTGTGACCCTTTGCCTATTTCTCCTGGTCTATTTTTTCCCAATACAGTACATTATCTGAAAACCACCAGGAAAAAACGTTACAACCTCTGAGGATGCTTGCCATAGATGCAGGCGAAACGTCAGGAGAGAATGCTTTTAGAATATGGCCATATAGCTTGAAAAACCTACAGCAACCTAGCAGGAATACATTACATCGTTCTCCTGACAAAGCCCCACTCCCACCTAGATTTGGCCTAAACATCCACATGAGGTTTCAGCCATAAGGGCGTGTACAGCCCAAAAGTGTACCAGGGATGAATGGGGCAAGGGCATTCTCTTGGATTCACCACAAATAAGTAAGTGCAGAAAGCTTAAAAGAATATTTCCATCTAAAAGGCTATACTAATTGTTGATTTAATTCTACTATTCTATTGGACAAACAACAAATTGGGGAAGGGGTATTGTCAATTTTTGGCTCTTCAAGCACCCTACAAATATAAAACAGCTTTATGAGACATCTAAACCTGGAAAATCAAGAACCTCTCAGCATGTAGATTTGTTATGCAAGAAGAATGTCCATGGGATCTTCCTTCTCATTACTATTGCTTTGGACAGTCCGCCCTCTCTTTTGTTATATCTACAATTTTAAAAGTTGGGCTACTGTATAAGGCAAATTGCAGACTATAAGCCATTCATATAAATCCAACCCCACCCCGAACTATCGTAGTATTTCCCTCCCCAAAATCCCACCTGGACATGGAAAAATAATTGCTCAAAACCTGCCTCTTTTGTTCCTAGAAACATAACAAAAGAAATATCACTTTCAAGCGAGAAGGACCCTCTAAATGCAAAGACTGGTACCCCAGATGTTACTGGATCAAAAATCCTGGCAGCCATGGCTGGCACACCCAAAAGGGAAGGATGATCACAACCACTATCCTTGAACTGCCAGAAGTAACAATCACAGGTCTCAACCCTACAGGGGAGAAACATATGCATGTAGGCTCTGCTCCTGAATTAACGAGCAGTACACAACTTGGAGCCCTTCAGAGAACTACACCCTCCTTGTGGCTATACTGGTTAGAGCTGATGGGAGTTGCAGTCTTAAGAGCAAAACATCTGGAGGGCCCTATCTCTGTTGCCTCACTATCCTCTACATCCAACACAGGTCTGAAAACATTCCCATGTGTTTTGCCTCTGCCAATATACCTGTCATGCTGGTCAGCAGAGGAAACAGTCCATGTGCCCTCACTGGGCCTGGTCCATGATTTCTTGCTATATCTGATCTAGACCACTAAACAACAAAAGGCAGAAGCAGTGCTTCCTACTTACAGGAAACACTGTTCTGTCCCTACTACCTGAGCACTTGAAAAGTATGTGGATAGTGCCTGGTGAGGTATCAGAAGGCTGTCATTAGAGGCGTAGTGAATTAGGCCCCCTCCCCCTCCAGCATCCTTTTGTGGCCTAAACCCCAAGTGACAGGGGATGGGTCTCCTGGAAAAACAAGACAGGCAAGATCAGATAGACAAAGTGATGCTTTATTTAACATGTCAAAAGGATAAGAAGTTTGCCCTTCTTCAGAAACACGCAAAAATACACACAAGCTTCCCTTGAGGAAGTCTGTAGAAGGGAAAGGTCACACACACGTATATGCACGCACACACACACACAGACACCAAAAAAGAGTAGGCCTGCTTGTCTAGAAACATAAATGGAACAGATACACACGGAGGAGGAAGCTCCCCACCCCCCTTGCATCTCCCTTCCCTACTGGGTACTATTGCACACTGACCGAGAAAAAGAGGAAGAGAGACAAAGAGACAGCACAGGTTGGCACTTTCGACACAGACAAGGCAGGTTTCTCTATACATTACCTGCAGTTGCCAGGTTATGAGTGACAGCAAAAGGCTCCGCCTCCTCCTCCTCCTGCCCTCCCATCTTTTGGGGAGCATTTGGGGGGACTTGTGGGGAGGGATGCTCCCAACCCAAGGGAGTCTGGCCGTTGGTCTCTTTTGGGAGCTGGTCCTTCAGGCCCTCAGTGGAGTGCTCTTCACTCTCAAGGGAGGAGAGACCAGGGCTCTTGCCACAGCTGTCAGTGGAGTGGAGGTGGAAGGCGCCAAAGACGTCACAGGAGGCGGCCGAATTGGTGGAGGCCGGGGTTTCTGTGCCAGCGTCACCTGAGCCAGGCTCATCGGACTCCTCCACTGAATGAGGCAAGGGGGGCTGCTTGCCTGGGGGAGGGGAGGCCGACAGGCACACCGTTTTGGCAAAGCCCGCCTCCTTCAGTAGTTCCACGTCCAGCTCCTCTGCCATTTTCCCTTCTTCGTCCTCCCCTTCTGAAGACGACACCGTGGGCTCTGTTGGCGGGTCACCAAGGACTTCATCTGCCGGCAGGGTCTCTGCCTCATCATCCCCCTTCTCCATGTGGATGCCCAGGTCTAGCTCCCCAGGGAGGTCCTCCAGGGGACTCAGAAGCTGGTGGCAGGTCTGCTCTAGTCTCTCATCTGACTTGGACTCCACTCCTGAACTACTGTCATACTCCCGCAACTCCTCCGGGGTGCTTGTCTCACTGCTGCTCTTGCCTGCCAGGTCGGGGCCACTCAGAGTGCTGGATTTGGAAGATGAGCCTCCCCGCTCTGGGGAATGGCCCTTTGTCCCTGTCCTGCTAAGTGGCTGCTCTGGGCCACTGAGCAACTGAGTGGGAGTCTCCTGCAGCAACTCCAGGCTCTTTAAGGGCAGGCTCTGGGGTTTGTGCATTGAACCTGGGGCAGTAGTGGTAACATTGACACTATCACCACCTCTGTCATCACCACTTGGTAAGGCCTCCCCTAAGAGGGAGAGCGTGACATCTAGAGCTTTGTCGGGGGGACCCTCCTTTTGCTGCAGGATACTCACAAATACTTCTGGAGCTACTGCATCATCATCATCATCATCATCCCCAAAGCATTCAACACCAGGATGTTCAGTCAATTCACTAGACTGGTCATCATCTTGGTCCTGAATAGAGTCAGTAAGAAGCAAAGCTGGAGCTATAGGCTGAGGGAGATGAGGCTGGTCCCAAACAGCGTCAAAGACAGTCAAACTTTCAGTCACATGCAGCTCCTCCTCTGGTGCTCCATCTGTACCACTGCCAGGAGTGGCTGAGAACTCTTCCATTAGCAGGGGACAAGCATCCTTTTGAGTCACTTCATCATCTTCAGCAGAAGGGTCCAGAGAGCTCATCCATCTGGCACTCTCAGTTTCTGGAGAGGCTGTGTCCTGCTGTGGCTCCTCCTCTGGACTTAGAGAGAGACTTGGGACTTGGCCTTCCTCCTCGCTGCCAGGCTCACCATCACACTCCATAGTCAGAAGTCCTGTGAAGGTAACCAAAGAGGGAGGCTGTTCCGCTTGGCTGCCAGAGGGAGGCTGTTCTGCTTGGAGGGCAGGTGACTTCCCTCCCTCTGCTGTTGGCACCAACTCCAAAGCAGTCTGGGGTTCTTCTAGTGGCCTGGCCTCAAAATCCAAGAAGCCAGGAAAATGAAGTGCCTCTGTTTGACTTGGGAGGGGAATATCACCTTCAGCCAAAATTGGGGACCCCTGAGGGGATGTCGAGGGGGGATTCAAATCTTCATGGATTTCATCAGCATCCGGCAATGAATGAGGTTGTCCAAGGGTCTCTTCAACCTCAAGGCATGGAGGTGCTTGTTTTACAAAGTCCTCAGGGGAAATGGCTTCCACACCAGAGCACAGGGACATTGATGGAGGAAAAGAAGGGGGACTCTGGGTACAGGGCTCCAAATGAATGGAAGGGGGTGTTTCACACAGAAGTGTTGTCTCGCAATGCAGTAATTCATTGCAATCACTGGAGAGTTCCAGGGCTTCAGGGACATCGTGCTGGGAATGGGGCATCTCAGTCAGGGACAAATCTTGCAAATGGGACAGCTCTCTTGGAGAGGAGATCCCCACAGCTTGTGAAGCAAGGGAGGCTACAGAGACTTCCTGCACTGAAGGAGGCAGCACTTCTGCAATCAAATCTGTGTTGGCCTGCCCTACCCCATCATCTTCTTCCAAGCCTTCTGGTTCCGTCTGCTCCATTGCTGAGGCTCCTACTCTGCAGCCTGCAGACATTTCCTCTTGAGAGATGGGCTGGCCAGCAATCTTTATCTCTGCCACAGGGTCCAATATTTGCACAGCTTTAATATCTGCCCCGGTGACACTTTCTGCCTTCCCAGTGGTTGCTGTGACCTCCTTTCCCTTAGTCGTTGCTTTCTGAATCTTGTTTTGAACAGAAGACTGTTCTAGGCCAGGAGGAGCATCCTTCTTCAGAAACTTCTTGCCTAGGGTGCCTGGTGAAGGAGGGACCTTGGCAGCTCGTTGCACCCTGGCTGAGTGGACACTTGAAACAGCCGTACTGACAGGATTTCTGGGCTTCACAGGCTCTGAAACCTTCTTTGCAGTGAGCTTGGTATTCACAGTAGTATTCCTCTGTCCTAGGTGTGGCTCAGACTGTGATTTGGAGTTTAAGGTTTTGGAGTTCTTTGGGGCAGAAGACACTTTCATTGTGGGGTTAGAAGTTGACAGCTTCGCCTTGAGAGGGGAGACAGCTCTGGAGGTATCTGGAACAAGAAACAACACCGTAAATCCCTCTGTGCTGATTGGAGAAGATGGAGTTTTTGTAGCATCTGCACAAAGAATACTGAAATCCTTAGGTTTATTTCCACTACAATTCTTCACATCTTCATTAGAGTTCAGCTGGTTCCAACCCCCTCTTGAAATACAAGCTACCAGACCAAGTCTTTTATTGAATGTAAATGTATCAATTTGATTCCTACCAAGAAAAATAGCACCTTCAACTCACTGATAAATGTGAACACACCATGGCAGACAAGAGTATATGCTATAAATCGGAAATTCTGATGTTAGATCTTTACAGTCATTAAATCACTAGCTGGGCTTAGGCAAGCTAGTCTCCAACTCCAATATTTCATTATCAAGGCAGGAGTAACACCAACCCCATTTACAGGGTTGCATTCCTTGAATTAAAACAAGAAAGTTGTCCATGCTTTGAATGGTCAAAAGCACTATATAAAAAGCATGGATTATTTTTTGAACAACTCATCTGTATACATGTGTCCAACGTTTCTTGCAATGCTACACACTCCCATTTATGTGTACACAAGCCTTGGCTTTGTCATTTTATATAAGGGAGACTATTTTGCTGTGCCATTGAACTTGATCATCCATGGATTTTGGTATCCACATGGGTCCCAGAACCAAACCCCAGAGGATACACTGCAAGTACCAGCATTATCGCAAGCCACAGTGAGGTATGCCTCAGTTCCACAATCATGTGTGCGTGTATACCTCTTTGGGTGGACAAGGTATTTCTCTGCTGCTGAACTGCCATGGCCTGGCCAGCAGGTGGTGCTGCCTGCTTAGGTCGGCCCACATTTTTGTCGTTGGCGGCTGTTCTGTTTAAAGCTGATGAAGTTGCGTTCTTAGTCCCTGGCAACCAAGTCCTGAGAACAGAGGACAAAGAATTAGGGGGGGAGGGAGAGAGGGGGAGAGAACCTTATTTTCACACCCTTAGAACACACAGCAACCATTTCTGCACCAGCATCCTGACGTACATCAACATGCAAAACACTTACATTTCAAGTGTTGAGACCAGGGTACCCAGAGTTAAAATAAAGTGATGATACTAAGTTTTTTTTAATTTTCAAAAGCATGATAAACTAATTTTATCTAGAAAGATTGAGTCAAATTGGCATTTTCACAAAATAGCAGTCTCCTGGCAACTCACTCTTCTTACATTACCAACACACACTCAGGTACCCTTCAGTTCCATCTTCTTTATTGTGACTATAATTCAAGCAGGGCACCGTCCAATTGCTAGGACCCAGGATGGACTGAACAGTAGAGATGCAGGTTCAAATTCCCACTGACTCATGAAATTTACTTGTGGCTGTCACACTTTCTCTTGGGAGGTTGAATGTGGAAGATGTCAATTTGGGGTATTCAGAGTAAGAAATGTACACTTTGTCACCTCACTTGGCTATGACCCAATACCTGACAATTCTTAAGATGTTAGGAATCACAAAACATCGAAAGATTGGCTTGACTGCTGCCATATGTGCAACCAGTCACAAGAGCATCATCCAATATCATACCTGGAGGATTTAGGCGGTTCAGATTTCTTAGGCTTTGTGGAAGCGGTCTTTGAAGCTAGGAAAAGAATAAAAAGATACATGTCTCAATCTATAGCATAACAAGGTATGGAACAAAGAGAAGACTTTCACTGCATGAGGCTGAAAAAAAAGAGCTACCTAGGAGACAGCAAGGGGCAGGTAACCTCCCCCTTTGAGCATGTGAAGATGACAAGGATGCTAAGCGCCATGGCTTTGTACATTCTGCATCTTGACAGTGGAATGCCAACAAAGAAGTTGTCATTCAAAGAACCTTAGGTTTTTAGCTGAGGACAGTAAACACTGTATTCCTGTATGTCACAGGAACTGAGCCTAGATGCACACAGGCCTGTGACAAAGTTTCAGAACCCCAGGAAGGGGTCCAAAACAGATGAACAAGTTGAAGAACCAGTTGTCTTATCTTTCATATGGCCATTTCCTGCACAGAGGAGAGGAACATCCCTAATGAGGTTTGATCCACCCCTTCCTCCAAAGGCCAAGAGCAGAATGTAGAGTACCTACTCTTCGGCCTATCTCCTACCTGTAAATATAGCTTATTCTTCCAGCTTTTTCTCAACCTTACTTCTCAGTGCTTTCTCCTCCTCTCCTCTTCTTTCCTGCCTTTGAAAAAGAGGGTGAACCAACCCATACTAAGGATATTCCACTTCTCTACACAGAGAAAAGAACTCTTCATTTATTTTCACAGCTTTGTAGCAACAGAACTTAGGTCACAAGCACAATGATTTAAGATTTTTGGTGCAGCACAAAGACATGTACAGAGCACTAATAGCAATAGTGCATTTGAGGATACTATGTGGGAATATTTGTCTTAGTCCCACAGACCTGTATTAACATGTACAACTAGGTACCAAGGAAAGCCCTCTCAAGAATGGCCATAATGTATGAAAAGATTAAACTGGCAAAGGATACCTGAAGTTGCAGCCACTGTGGCTACCTTGGCGGCTTTTTGCTGCACCTCGTCTGGGCCAATTTTTTCCAAAGGCTTCGCCCCACTAGGCTTGTCTCCTGTCACCTTTTTTGCTGTTATTCTGGTGGATGAATTGGAAGCAGTATTGTTCTTGAGCGCTGGCTGCTTTGGATGCAACACACCAGCCTTCCTCGCTGTCCCGTTGTTGAGTGTTTTGGATGCACCAGAAGGAACTGTAGGGGGGCGAGATGCAGGAGGGATTGGCTGCTTCCGGCCAGGAAACTGGATGGCAGGATGCGGGTTCTTGCTGGATTTCTGTTTCATTGCAGGTGGACAGGGAACTACTGCCCCTTCCTTAGTAGTGGCAACACCATTGACTTGAGGGGCTGGGTCCCCACCAGCTGCTGATTGGTCATCCATCTTTACACCCAAAGGCCCTGGACAAGCTGTCTGAAACTCTTGGAACTACTAGGCAAGGGACAGGCCTCTGTTTTCACTATGGATCTGTGAGGAGGGAAAAAGGAATGCTGATATTATACAGCCATTATTATGTTCAGAAATCTCAGTACGACACTGTAGAGATAACTGCAATACTTGAAAACAATGAAAGCTACAGATGAGCTGTTGAAGAGCATTGGGAAAATTCCTTTTTGGACTACAAATCCAGCATACATGTTGCTCATGTTGGCTGGAGAAAATTGGGAAGCCGGTGTTCCAAACAACTCTTCCAGACTTTTATTGTCCTGTGGTTTTAAAGACATAAATCTACACAATCCAATTATAAAAAATGAGCCTTCTAAGTTACATCCTATTTGTTATGTATAATGCCAGTCAGTAGACCACTAAACAGCAACTCAGTTGTGAGGAGCCACCTGAATTGAACAAATAAGAAACAGAAGGCTATATGGGACAGGCCCTCTCATTTCCACTTTATAATCCCAATGGTTTATTTTGCAATGAGAACTGGAACACTGCTGTTCAGTCATGGGCATGGGCAGCAACTAATTTAGCTTTGAATACAATCTGGCAGCCAGACTGCAAGCATCCAAAGCAACATCCAAAAACCACACTCACATAACCTGTGTAACCTAAAGCTATTTTATTGACAAAATCTATACTGCTCACTAAACTCAGGGAGGATGCAGTTAACCTTGCTGGCTCTTTCCTTCCCTACATTAGTATATCAGGATACACAGAAGATTTGAGACAATGCTCTCAAAGCGTGGCTACCAGCAAGATTTTTTCACTGAAGCACAAGCAAGGATACTCTTGTTGCTGCAATTAACACCTCTTTTCAAGGAAAGCATGAGAACTACCAAGCCCATGTGTCCACTATGGAGACCACCCACCCATTACCTACACTTCTATAGAGGTCCAGGAGGAAGTTAAATGACTAACAAGCCCTTAAAAGCTTCCCAGTGCTCTGCTTGAGCTCCTGTTATGTTGTTCTGCTACTGCATATGCCATAGATAAAGAATTCCAGATGTTTTTAACCTACAACTACCCTTTGTCCCTGCAAACACAAACAATGGTAAGGAATTATGTCGGCTATGGACCAAAACACAGAGATTCACAAATACTAACCTCTCTACTTCACTGTGGAATTTCTGAGATTTGTGGGGTTACATCTTTCTGAAGAAGCCATTTGCTAATCTCTAAACCAACGTTTCTCAACCTGAGGGTCAGGACCCGGGGGGGGGGTGCGAGGGGGTTTAAGAGGGGTCGCCAAAGACCATAAGAAAACATACATTTCTGATGGTCTTAGGAACTCCTTTGGTAGAGAAGACTGAAGATCTCTCTGCCTATCCTTCTATTCCTTTTTGGAAACAGAAGGTGAATCATCTCACCAACAGCCCTCCTCCGCTGTGATTGGCCGGCCTCTCTGATTGTTGGTGAACTACAACTCCAAAACTCAAGGTCAATGCCCACCAAACCCTTCCAGCATTTTCTGTTGGTCATGGGAGTTCTATGTGCCAAGTTTGGTTCAATTCCATCGTTGGTGGAGTTCAGAATGCTCTTTGATTGTAAATTAACTATAAATCCTAACAACTACAATGCCCAAATAACAAAATCAATTCCCCCCAACCCCACCAGAATTCATATTTGGGCGTATCAGGAATTTATGCCAAATTTGGCCCGGTGGATGAAAATACATCCTGCATATCAGATATTTACATTACGATTCATAGCAGCAGCAAAATTAGTTATGAAGTAGCAACAAAAATAATTTTATGGTTGGGGGTCACCACAACATGATGAACTGTTTTAAGGGGTCACAGCATTAAGAAGGCTGAGAACCACTACTTTAAACATTCTATCTAATCCCAGGCATTGCAGAGCTAATTTCAGAATCAATAGAAAAATACTTATACGCATTCAAAAGTACAGGAAAGATGCCCTGTTGGGCATTTACTTTTTTATTATGAAGGAGTATTTATAGCTCACTCTTCAGCCAAAAGGCTTACAATCTAGTCCAATGTACTGTTCAATGTCATTCCCAAGAAATGGATGTCCAATCTCTGTTTGAAGATCTCTAACAATGAAGATGCCCCCACTCCTTCAGGAAAAACTTAATTTGTCTTTAAAAGAGCTTCTTGTTGCAATCAACCAAAATTTAACCTCTGCTAACTCCAGCCTGTTATTTATATCTAGTCATACTTTTCTGTTCTCGTATCTGTGCCTCACCTGCCTCCATCTAACTTTCTCCAGTCTGCAACCAACACGGGCCACAGATCCAGATGCAGCAAGTTCTTCCAACCTTGAATCTACTAGGCCTGGGTAACAACGGAAAAAATTGTTTCTAAAATCGATTTGTATTTGGGGTTTTTTTTTGTTTTGATATTTAAAATAATTACAAAATTTTCCTTTTAAAAAGTTCGATATTTACGAAATTTCGTAAATGTGAAAAAAATTACAAAACATTAACGAATCGATTTCCGAAACAATAACGAATCGATTCGTTAATGGCGGACGCGACCGCGAAATACGCTAAAAAACCTCCAAAAACTTCTGAAGCTTCCCTCTCCCTCTGTTGTTGACTGTTGGTGTGATATTATAATTTTTTTCACTAATTAAACAAAAAACTTGCCCCAGACATGCGGAAATAATAATGAAACGACCTCAGAACAATAACGAAACGAATACAATAACGAAATACGAAGCATTTACAAAACGTGTTTAAAAATTCGTTTTTTTAAAAAATTGCTCCAGAATGGTTCGTTATCGTTTTGTAATTGAAAAAATTAACGAATTATTAACGAATTACGAATTAACGAAACGAAACCGCCCAGCCCTAGAATCTACTATTCAGTGTGGCAGAGGCAACAAGAGAGATTGAATTTGCAAATTAAGGGAGCAGCTCAATGTAAACAGACAGAACTTTATGACTCTTACTCCTTGCAACAGTGTGATTGCTAGACTTAAGCCATATTTGACACAAGCACCACTCTTTATTAGCAAAACCTCAAGTTGATAGGTTTTCTTTACTTTTCAAGTAAATTTCAGGTATTGACAAATAGCTTAGGTTGTGAGATATTTCATTCTCTCAGCTGCTATCTTAAAACCTTATGATTCTGTTTGCACACTTTGTTTCACCGTATCTTCTCTCCACGTCTTCTCATGTTTATTGGCCGTCGTTAGGCATCTGAGAATTGCCACTAAGTTTCGGTTTTACCTTCCTGCTTCCAAAACACACATCTACCTTCATGACCTTTATCCATGTGTTCTGAAGTGTACATTTCTCTTCAAAATCTTATCAGTATGTATAAAAATTTCAACAGGGCTTCCAAATCTTGTTTATGCTGCAATGGCATAATTTATCACCAGTACTAGGCATTCTATCTCAAGTCATAACTAATATGTGGACGAAAATAAACATTTTCCAAATAAATATAAGTAGCCTGGCATTGCCAATAAAAAAATTCAACAGGACTTCCAAATCTTGTTTATGCTGCAATTGTACCATCCATCTTACATGCCTCCTGCCATAAGGAGTTTCTTTTCCTCCAGTATCTTTGTTTAGTTGCTCATAATCCAGCACAACGGCTCTTGCAAAGCCCATAGTTTGGGTCACATCTGACCACAGAGCAGGCTGGCTGCTCTTCTAAAGCTCCCAATCTTTTAACTTCTCAAGACACAATTTAGGGTGCATCTATACTGTAGAATTAATGCAGTTTGACACCACTTTAACTGCCATGGCTCAATGCATTTAAATCATGGGAGTTGTGTTTTACCAGGTCTTTAGCCTTCTCTGTCAGAGTGTTGATGTCTCACCAAACTGTAACTGTCATGATTCCATAGCACTGAGCCATGGTAGTTAAAGTAGTGTCAAACTGCATTACTTCTATAGTGTAGATGCAACCAAAGCTTTCCTCTTCCTGTATTTGCTCACTCTCTTCCTCATGGAAAACCATCATGGTGATTTGTCCTAAATTCAGTTGGGTTACTACTCCCCTCCATCTCAAATAAGAAACAAATAGTAGTTGCGATAAACAAATCAGGCACCCCTGGGGGCTCTTGGTTTTAATATTTTATGCTATGTTGCATTTATGCTCCCAGAAGGAAGCATAAGATCTGACACCAGGTCTAAGATCCTAAGATCTGACACCAGTTATACTCTCCCTCTGATGAGTACCATGCCCTCCATACTGGAATCACATCCACCCACTTCTTCGCAGTTTAAGTGGTTGAGACCCTGAAGGGTCAATGTGTGAGGAGGTAAGTGGCCATGGATGTCTACTTTTATTACTAGTAATAACTAAATGAGAACCAGCCTCTTGTGTTGAAAACTGACATAAGGAATCTGGAAGACACAGGCTAGAATCTTCATTCAGCCCTGAAAACTCACCGTGTGATCTTCATCCACTCACTATGGATGAATCTACACCAGGGGTACTCAAACTTTTTAAACAGAGGGCCAAGTCACAATCTCTCAAACTGTTGGAGGGCCGGATTATAATTTGAAAAAAACATGAACGAATTCCTATGCACACTGCACATATCTTATTTGTGGTTCAAAGACCACTTAAAAACAAAACAATAATTAAAATGAAGACCAATTTTAACTAATATAAACTTATTAGTATTTCAATGGGAAGCGTAGGCCTGCTTTTGGCTGATGAGATAGGATTGTTATTGTTGTTGTGTGCTTTCAAGTTGTTTCAGACTTAGGTTGACCCTGAGCGAGGGCCGGGTAAATGACCTTGGAGGGCTGCATCCGGCCCCCGGGCCTAGTTTGAGGACCCCTGATCTACACTGTAGAATTAATGCAGTCTGACTCACATTTTTAACTGCCATGGCTCAAGGCTATGTAATCCTGGTAGTTGGAGGTTGGTGAACCAACAACACTTTTTGGTAGGCAAAAGCAAACGGCCCCTTTCTTACCAAGAAAACCCTAGGATTATTGTTGGCATAATTCAGTGTCAACTTCAAATCCCACATGAATAGCAACTAAATACATTAGATATTTTTCTCTATAGAAGAAAATCCCCCATAGTATCTTGCAATAGTCAGCACAAGCAAAACTTAAAAGAAAATCAAAACATCTCCCATTCCCAACAACAAAGCAAAATAAATTAGTGTTACGGTCAGGCCTTTACAAAACAATCAAGCACATCCTGGGTTTAAAAAAAAACCTCCACTTTGTGTTGGAAGGATGAAAATGTCTGAGCCAAGCTGGCCTCCCTGAAGAGTCTCTATGGAAATGGTTCTCAGCCTGTGGATTCCCAGGTGTTTTGGCCTACAACTCCTGAAATCCCAGCCAGTTGGGTAGAGGAGCCACAGCTGAGCAGGCTCCTTTTCTTAGCATTAAGGTCTACACCTCCTTGTGATGAGGTACTTAGACAAAGGGCTGAAATCTCAGGATGCTGGAAGAGGCTTTCAATTCAGTATTTGTGAGCCCTGAGTCATGGTAGGCTGTCTAGATTACAACTGGCACTTTCAATTGGGGCTGGAAATGTATTATGTTGCTAAGCTAAACCCATTTTTAAAGCACCCCTACTCTTGCACATCCATGTCACCCACCACCTTTTATCAACAAATCTAACAGCTCAGTTAGGCGTTTAATTCATAGCTCCTACATCCTACTTGATTTGATCTAAAATTCCCCTAAAGATCTCTTACTTTTATTTGGATGCAATGGAAGAAACACTCATGTCCCTGTAATCTCCCTAGTGCCTTTCTTCACCTCTAAAAGCTCAATGCTGTGCCTCGTGCTCTTCCACAGCAAAGCGCTTTCACTTCACTATTTTCACACACAGCCCAAATATTTTATTCATTTCAATCTCCCATAAGCTTGGAATGGTTGATAACTGCAATACCCAAAAAAGCTGTCAAGTGACCTGTAATACTCCCATCTTTCAAGTAAAGGTCTAACCATTATAGGGTATTTCTTAAAAGTGATAATTCTCCACCGGCCACAGGAGAATCACACCATTCAATTTCCTGTCTTTCTATCAACACAAAAATCAGTGGAATGGGGGCATTTCATATCTAGGCTATTATCTCCCTGTATGAGTCAGTCCCAGCTCTGAGACCCCCAGGAGAGGCCCTTCTCTCACTCCTGCCAGCATCACAAGCATGGGCTACTAGAGAGGGCCTTTTTGGTCGTTGCCCTCAGCTCTGCTATTCAGTTTGCAGGGAGGTTAGAATGCCCCCCTCCTTGTTCTTCTTTCACTGGCAGGCTAAAATCTTTTTTTAAATTATTATGATAGACCTTTAAAACTGGGATTTTGTTTAAACGATTAGGATAAATATGACCATTATTAAGAAAATTAGACAACAGTGGAGGATTATTTATTAGTAAGAAGAAATCTCTGACTTGGGTGGGTAGGATAAGGCAAAAAATATATTGTGATGTATTACTGTATTGGGATAATTGATACAATGTGGAAATGCATTACTGTATTATGATTTTGGATATAATGTGGAAATTTAATTTAAAAACTTTAATAAATAGAGCTTTTTATTTTTTAATTGCATGTCATTCTTTTATTCATGTGTTGTCTTAATAGTATAAATGGGTGAATTTTGATTTTGCAGGTTTTTAATTCATGGACAACTTTAAATACTGGTGGAGTTTGGGGACAACTGAACTTGAATTTAGGGAGTTATAGTTCACTTCCACCCAAAGAGTGCTATGAACCCAAACAATGATGGATCTGGACCAAATATGGCACACAGACCTGACATGGCCAACTTTGAAGACAGGCAAGGTTGGAACAATGATAGATGATGGGAATTGTAGTTTACCCACCAGCTTATGAATTTTCTAATTGGTCCATTCTTAAAATCCAAAAGCCAACAATGATTTCTTTTTCTGTTTATTGGTATAAAAGACCTCAGATGGGTTGCTAAGCTAGTAAATAGTAAAGTACTGGCAGTCTAGTTAAGCAGAATTTGTTTGTATGTCTGAACAAATACATTTGAAAGCAGGGGTCCTCAAACTAAGGCCCGGGGGCAGGATACGGCCCTCCAAGGTCATTTACCCGGCCCTCGCTCAGGGTCAACCTAAGTCTGAAATGACTTGAAAGCACACAACAACAACAACAACAACCACAACAGTCCTATCTCATCAGCCAAAACAGGCCCACACTTCCCATTGAAATACTAATAAGTTTATAATTGTTACAATTGTTCTTCATTTTAATTATTGTATTATTTTAAGTGATTTTTGCACTACAGTTAAGATATATGCAGTGTGCATAGGAATTCATGTTTTTTTCAAATTATAATCCAGCCCTCCAACTGTTGGAGGGACTGTGACCTGGCCCTCTGTTTAAAAAGTTTGTTGACCCTTGTTTTAAAGTGTAATTTCAGCCACAAATGTGTGTGTGAGAGAGCTTTGGATAGCATAGGGAAGGGTTTACACCCCTGTGGCATTTGTTTTACTGTCTTTGCCCTGCACAAAAGATTTCACTGTACTTTCTGACCGTGTTATAATTTGATTTTGGAAAATGTGGCTTGTTGTGGAAACAAGGATTGGTGATAAAGCTTCAGGGGTGACCCCTTTCCCCCCATGATAACTTTTTCAGGAGATAATTTCCCTTCCTAGGGGCAGATTTCTTTCATTTCCTGTTGTCTTACCCTGTTTGTAACTAGGAAATCCCTTCCACTCAGCTGTTTAAAATCCCACATTATCTGTGTTGATATTTTGGGTCATATGACTATATGGAAGGGCCATGAGTAGTTTGGACTTCAGATGTTTGTAACTTAGGGACTGCCTGTGTGCAGTTTGTTTACAAAAGGTATCAAATCTCAAAAACATTGGAAAATGAGTTATAGGTGGCAGCGCATTGTTGGCTAGGAATAGAATATTATGTACAGTTCAAAACTATCAAAATGTATCAAATCACTTCGGAACCAGGTTTAGAGAATTGCACTGTACAGCAAAAGATTGCATAAAGGTAAAGGTCTTCCCCTTGACATTAAGTCTAGTCATGGCCGAGTCTGGGGGATGGTGCTCATCTCCATTTATAAGTTGAAGAGCTGGTGTTGTCCATAGACACCTCTAAAGTCATGTTGCCAGCATGACTGTATGGAGTGCCATTACTTTCCCGCTGAAGCAGTACCTATTGATCTACCCACATCTGCATGTTTTCAAACTGCTAGGCTGGGAGAAGCTAGGGCTAAAAGTGGGAGCTCACGCCGTTCCCCTGATTTGAACTGCTGAGCTTTTGGTCACCAAGTTCAGCAGCACAGTGGTTTAACTCACTGCGCCATCGGGGGTTCCCAAAAAATGGAAAATGAGCTAGCTTGGGGACTGTCATATGTGTGCAGTTTGTTTACAAAAGGTACCAAATCCCAAAAATTGGAAAATGACTTATAGGTGGCAGCACATTGTTGGCTAGGAGTAGATTATGTACAGATTGAAACTATCAAAATGGATCAAATCACTGTGGTACCTGGCTTAGAGAATTGCATTGTACAGCAAAAGATCACATAGCCTCGGTTTTTTCTGACTTCTGAAAAAAAATGTGTCCAGTTGGTTTTTGTACCTTTTGGAAACAAACGCCCCACAAACACACAGACAGACACAGATATGATGCATGTATGAATATATATATCTATTAATGCGTATCACACAGAGAGACACGGGTATGGTGTTTGCATAGAGGTTAATGCGTATTATTACATAGAGGAGGGCCAAAGGGCCCAAGGACTTCCGACCTGCCCCAAATGGGTTAAGAACAATTGTGGTCATGCAAACTTTGAGTCGCACCTTTAAAACCAGGCACCTTTAGCTATCTCTCTTTTTTTAAAAAAATCCACCATGTTTTGTGGAGAGAAAGAAAGGGGGGGGACAAGCCCTTTGTTGACTATCAACTGCAGGGGGCCAGAAGAACAATAAAACAGTGCTGCCTGTTTAATAAGCCATTGGAGAAAGAGGGAGGTCTGCGTGGGAGGAGGCACACCTCGAGGGAAGCAAGAAAGGAGACCCTGGCCTGTTTTTTTTGGGGGGGGGGGAGTGGATGAGTGGGTGCTCCCTCCACAAAGCGGCCTCGGGTGGGGCTGCTCCCTCCTCCCAACAAAGAGAGCCAGTGCCCAGAGAGGCCTCCCTCCTTCCTTCCCTCCCTCTGTACTGCTCCGGTTCCTCACCAGTACCACGAGGGAGGGCCCAACCCAGCCCCATTCTGCCCAGAAGGAAGACCCCACCGGGGAGATGCCCACCCACCCAGCCTCTGCTGGGAAAGCTCCAGAGCAGGAGGCTCCCAGGGCTCTCCCCGTCCCCACCTTCTTCCTACTGTTTGGGCGGAACCTCCAAGTCCATTCTAGTCTCCAGAGCGGCACCAAACGAGCCCCTCCCTCCCTCCTTCCTCAGTGGGACCCCCTTCGGAACCTTTGGCCACGGCTCTCCTCCGGCCCCCTCCCCTCCCCTCCCCTCCTGAAAGAGCCGCGCTCCTGGCCTCCCCCTCCACACACACAAACCCCGGACAAAGGCAACGCCCCACCAGCCTCCGGCATCCCCCTCTCCCCTGCCTTCCTCCCTGCACCTGCCGCCCTCCCGCAAGGAACGGGGCGCCCCCTGGAGGGAGGGAGGAAGGGGCACGCTGACCTCGGCCCAACCGCCTCCCCGACGGGGCTTTGTCCGCGGCTGCCCTGGGCGCGCCCTTCGCTCTCGCGCTCTCCCTCTCTCTCTCTTGCGCGCGCGGTCGCTTTCTCTCTCTCTCTCTTTCTCTCGCTCTGCCTCCGTCTCACCAAGTCGGCATGAGGGGAAAAGACGGGGCGGGGACGAGGGGCGAGGCAGAAATGCCCATCTCAATTACCTGCCCATCCAATGGGAGCGCCGGTTGGGATTTGGAAGGGATGATGTCACTGAAGGGGGCGGGGGGAGAGAAGCAGCTGAGGAGCGGCGGGTGGGCGGGTCTCTGGTCTCCCGTGGCCGCGGCTCTTTGCCCCCTTTCTCTCACCCCCCCCCCCCGCGCCTCAGCTGGGGAATGGATCAGTTCAAGAGGAGGGAGGGGGGAGGGGGACGAGCGGCGGGGTCTCGGTTAACCGCTCCTCAGCAGAGACGCCTTTTCTTCACACCTCGCGCACAAAAGGCAACGCGGCGCTGCCTTTTGTAGGTGGGGTGTGGACGCCCCGCGCGTGAGGACAGAGAAACAGGCAGGCAGCCGGCCTTCCCGAAACTTGCCAGTATGTCTCTGGGGAAAGTGCTCCCAGGGGCGCTTCCCAGGCACTGGCGGGTGGGCCGGTTGCCATGGTGACCTGGCGCGCGGCCTGGCAGCGGCAACGGAAGCAACCGCCGGAGGCCCACAGCCTGCCTCGCCAGCAGCACCAGCAGCCTCGTCGTATCGTCCAAGGATTTCATGCCCGGAATCACTGGGTTGTTGGGGTTTTTTCGGGCTGTATGGCCATGTTCTAGATGCATGCTTCTGGCAGCAGAGCAAAAACCTACAACAACCCAGCAGACTCATTGTTATGACCCCCCCCCCCCCTACAATGCAGGCAGACACCACCCAGTTATTTCCCTCCTTACTTACTTACTTAGGCGATCCTTCGTAGTCCGAGGATGATGGTCCTCCAAGTTCGGTGTCCTGGGGGGGGTTCGTAGGTGGCTGTGGAGCACTATTCTTGACCTGCATCTTCTCCCACAGTGAGGGCATTGGTTTCCAGGTGGAAGGCAGTCTCGGTCGCGGTTGGCTTGACACGCCTTCCTCTTGGCACGTTTCTCTCTTTCACCCTCCATTCGTGCCTCTTCAAATTCTGCAGCACTGCTGGTCACAGCTGCCCTCCAGCTGGAGCGCTCAAGGGCCAGGGCTTCCCAGTTCTCAGTGTCTATGCCAGAGTTTTTAAGGTTGGCTTTGAGCCCATCTTTAAATCTCTTTTCCTGCCCTCCAACATTCCATTCTTGAGTTCGGAGTAGAGCAACTGCTTTGGGAGATGGTGGTTGGGCATCCGGACAACATGGCCGGTCCAGCGGAGTTGATGGCGGAGGACCATTGCTTCGATGCTGGTGGTCTTATGCTTCTTCCAGCACGCTGACATTTGTCCGCCTGTCTTCCCAAGAGATTTGCAGGGTTTTCCGGAGGCAGCGCTGATGGAATCATTCCAGGAGCTGCATGTGACGCCTGTAGACAGCCCACGTTTCTCAGGCATATAGCAGGGTTGGGAGGACAATAGCTTTATAGACAAGCACCTTGGTATCCCTACGGATGTCCCAGTCCTCAAACACTCTCTGCTTTATTCGGAAAAATGCTGCACTCACAGAGCTCAGGTGGTGTTGTATTTCGGTGTCGATGTTGACTTTGGTGGAGAGGTGGCTGCCAAGGTACCAGAAATGATCAACATTTTCTAATGTTACACCATTAAGCTGTATCGCTGGCATTAGAGAGGGGTTGACTGGTGTCTGCTGGAACAGCACTTTGGTTTTCTCGATGTTCAATGACAGGCCGAGCTTCTCATATGCCTCTGCGAAGGTGTTTAGAGTGGCTTGTAGATCTTCTTCTGAATGCGCACAGACAACATTGTCATCAGCATACTGGAGTTCTATAACAGATGTTGTAACTTCCACGGAGGGAACAAAAGGAGGCTGGAGCTGGCTTTGCCATGCTCCTATCCTTTGCCTGAGGATGGTGCATGCTCTTGAGCTGACATCAAGAGCTAGAGGAGCTTTGCCTCAGGCTGGATCTACACTGCCATGTAATCCAGATCAAAGCAGATAATCTGGATTGTATATGGCGGCATAGAAGGGCTGCCTCAGGCTGGATCTACACTACCATAGAATCCAGATCAAAGCAGATAATCTGGATTGTATATGGCAGTGTAGAAGGGGCCCTAGTGTTTATCTAGGATGCCACATTGACCCTTGAGGCATACCTGATGGCGCATTACACTTGCAGTAACCCTTTTTCTAAGGAGCCTCAGTTGGCACAGCTGGTTTTATTATTTATTTATTTATTTAAAACATTTATATCCCAATTTTCTCTACCTCTGTAGTGGGACTCAGACTGGCTGAGCTGTTGAACTTGCTGACCAAAAGGTTAGCGGTTCAAATCCGGGTCATGGAGTGAGCTCCCGCTGTTAGGTCCAGCTTCTGCCAACCTAACAGTGCAAAACATGCAAATGTGAGATCAATAGGTACTGCTCCAGTGGGAAGGTAACAGCACTCTATGCAGTCATGCAGGACACTTGACCTTGGAGGTATTTACGGACTATTTATTTATTTATTTACGGCATTTATATGCCGCCCTTCTCACCCTGAAGGGGACTCAGAGCAGCTTACAAGACATTTTCATACAATATATTATATTATTAGCATAGTACAATATCAGTATTATATATTACTATATTACACTATACCATTATATTGTAATATTATGTAATATTACTAATAATATTACAATTCTTGTTTAGTGATGGAAATCCAAATGGGTGACCTCAGGAAATCACTTCCCCAGCTTCAAAGGAAGGCAACAACAAACCTATAAACAAATCCTGCCAAACTACCATAAGCCATTTGCATGATAGGTTTGCTTTTGGATTGTCATAAATCAGAAATGACTTGAAGGCACTCAAAAACAATCTATGTTATCAAGTGAAAAATGCCATGGCTGGAAAAAAAATGCCATGGACAACATGACTATAAAGATACTAAGCAGAGGGAGAAATAGCCTTCTTAATATATGTATTGTAATGGTCTTACATTTTATATATTTATTTTACCTGTGTTGTGTTCTGCCTTGAGCTGTGAGGAGAGGCAGATAACAAATAAAATAATAATAATAATAATAATAATAATAATAATAATAATTATTATTATTATTATTGATGTTGTTAGCCTTTTCTTGCCTCCTGGAAAAAGGGCTTAGTAAAGGTAAAAGCCTCCCCTTGACATTAAGTCTAGTTGTGTCCATCTCTGTGGGGTGGTGCTCATCTCCATTTCTAAGCCAAAGAGCCATCTAAGGTCCCCCGATTCTGTTCACTGGTGGTCTCTTGAAGTGGTTGGTGCCTAAGGTGAACCCATCTCAGAGCTTTCTTGGCAGAATTTGTTCATAGTAAAGTTTGCCTTTGCCTTCCTCCGAGGCTGAGAGCATGTGACTTGGCCAGGGTAACCTAGCAAGTTCCCACAGCTCATGGAGGATTTGAACCCTGGCCTCCCAGTATTTTAGTTCAATACTCAAACTGCTTTCTATCTACTCTTTCATTGTACTCTCAGCTTCAAGATGGTGAACTAAAAGGCTAAGCTCACTGGAATTCTCTTTCATTTCTTAGGATGTAGATATTTTAAATACCTTATTTCTTCAATTCTAAGATGCACTTTTCCACCATATAAACACATTTAAAATAGCGTGCCTCATGGAAATTTTTTAAATATTCAATGTAGCAAAAGAAAAATTAAAAAATTAAAAAGAGTAAGAATGTAAAGTAGTGACCACTCAAATGAACATCATAAGGAGGTCATTGTGACCAGTAGTGTCATTGTGACACTACTGTTAATTTAGCCAGCCCTTCTCTGTGGGCAGAGGATCATCTGATGCCAAGAAGCCATTCTATAGTTTAAGATACCATGCTCTATAAATGGCTGTGACAGCTAATGCCACACTCTGTATCTAGTTGCTGTTGTGTGCTTTCAAATTTCTGAATTAATGTGACCTTAAGGTTAACCTACCACAGGGTTTTCTGCATAAAATGTTTTCATTGTGGGTTTACCTTTGCTTTTCTTGGAGGCCGAGAGAGTGTGACTTGTCCAAGGTCACCCAGCAGGTTTCCTTGGCTGAGCCAGCAATCAAATCCTGGTGTGGAGTTTGTTAAACCACTACATTGCAATGGCCTCTAGATGGCAGCAAAATCACACGGATGTAAAAACAACACCTTTCTTTACAGGTATCTTTGCAAGTCTTCAACCTGTTTATAGAACAGTTGCATTTTCAAACGAGTTTGTAGAACAATTGGACCTTAGATCTACAATCATGGGGAAAGTAAAACAACCAAAAGGTTTTGCAACCCCCCCCCCCCCCCATATTCTACTTTAACTATTCCCTGAGCTGTCATTAACCAGGCCAAATAGTTGCCAAACCTGCGACACCCACACCACTGTCACTACCTAAGGGCCCACCATCTCATATGACCATTGGGAAATTCTAGGAGTTTTGGTCAAGATCTACCAAGGATTCTTTGTACTGCACGTTTGTGGTCCTTTCAAACTTTAATGTTGATCAGTTTAGGTAGCCAGGAAAGCCAAGGGTCAGGTAATTCCACATCCATTCCTCCCTCCCACCTCTGCTCTATAATATTTGAAATTAAGCAATATTGAGTTTTATTCCATTCCTTATCCATCTCTTCTATTGCTTCAAAGTATGAACATTGATCACCAGTGTTCCGAGACAATCACTCTGGATCAGTGGTTGTTATGTTCATTGATGATTACATGTGACAGTGCAACACATGCTACTTTAGCTAAGCAAATGATCAAGGTAGCACTGAAGGTAAGTGCTATTACAGCTACTACACCCCCTTAATCTACCAACTGGTTAACTTGCAAAAGTAAAAGGTTAAAGGGTTTGGCCAAACTGCTTTTGAACTAAAAAGCTTGGTACTAGTAATGATGAATGTTGCATCTCAGTCTTTTGATTAAAGGTCAAGTGTTTGAAATATAAATATTATGTAAGTGTAGTTGCTCTTCTACATGTTTAACTCAGGTGAGTCTTAGTTGGTAAACACAACCCTTAAGTAGACATGCACAGGAGTGTTGTGTTGAAATTGTATTTGAGATTCATGCTTTAGATTTACAATCTGAATATAAAGTAACAGAATTTACCAATCTCATGGGTTTGCACTACCAACCCTCTTAAATATTTGTGAAAAGGGTCTTTGAATTTACTTTCAAAACTATCTACGGAATTGCTTCTCTGTCATATGTGAAACAAGAAGTCAGTGTTTTCTACAAGGATAAAAGTTCAATGGCCAGTCTGGCTCGGGAATTCTAAAAATTATAGTCCAAATAAGTAACGTTCCTTTAGGCCAGGCATGGGCAAATCTTTTTGATTTGGGGCCGCATTATGGGCCAAACCAAGAGGGCCGGACCAGGAGGGAGGGCAGCCAGGTATGTGCTGGATGGGATTGGCTCGAGAGAGGGGGGGGGGCTGTGAAAGGATGGGGTTGGGAGAGGTGTGGCAGGGCCCGGGTCATCCTGAGGTTATCCTCCTGGCCTAAGGATGGGGCTGCTCACTCCATCCTTATGCCAGGAGAAAAATGAGACTTGCGGCGACAGACGCGATCCTCCTCCTCTGATTTTTGGGCTGTTCTCTTGGCATTATGCTGGGAGGAGGGCAAGACAGGTGATGAACGAGAATTCTCCAGAGGGCTCTCAGCTGCTGCATGCCTTCCTTGGGCCATCCTCTAAGCATAAGGAGAGGGCCGCTCGCACCGTCCTTAGTCCTTATACTGGGAGGAGGGCAAGACATGCAGTGGTTGAGAGTGCTCCAAAGGGCTCTCAGCTGCTGCATGCCTTCCCCATCCTTTCTGTATGAGAATGTGGTCGGCAACATTGTCCTTATGCCAAGAGGGCAGGGAAAACGAGGACGGCCTGAGGTAGACAACCAGGGGCTGTATCCGGCTCCTGGGCCTTAGTGTGCCCATGCCTGCTTTAAGCTCTGGGTTACATGAAATCACTTGTGGTTGTCAGCTTTTTAAAAAGGGAACAAGGTTCTGATTTTCCCCACACCAAAGCTGACAGTCTAGAAAAAAGAAACAAAGGCATGCCATTATTTGCTACACTCCAAGATACAGAATTGTGAAATCCAATCTAATGAAATGACACAGAGCACCAGGAGCTTCATTATGAAGCTAAATAGCCATCACTCCAAACCAGTGTTGAAGCTTTCCTTTATGCAAAAAGTACATAAAATAAAATCTCCTTCTTTGTAGCAAAGACTACTTTGCACCCATAAATATAGACACGCCACAACTGTACAAGAATGACTAAACAGCTTCAAATCCATTTTCAACATTGCACCCTTTCCTTCTCACCATTGCTTTTGTTGCACTCCAGGAATATACAGGGAACAGAAGAAAAATTTAAAAGTGCTTTCAAAACTGTGGAGAAATATGTGACAAATATGCTACAGAGGAAGGAATATAACAGTAACTGCCTTTTGCAAACCTGAACCAACATGTGTTGGACTAAAGTCAGGTGATGAGAATTTGAGAATAGCTTTACTCCTGAAAATTTCTTATGCATATATATTTCTCAATCACCACTGGACAAACAGATATTGCAGGTTTTGAGGTAGTACAGAAAACCTTTGCAACTGCTTACCAGAAAGTAAAGTACATGTCTAGAAGTAATGACTGTTCCTCTTTTGAACATACTCCAAGTCTCAGAAAGAATTTCTGTGTCCAGAAATGTGTATTTTAACTTTCCTTCATTTTTTGAATATATCTCTCTACCAAAGCCTTGTGAGATTGAAAAGATAGATTTCCAACTCCAAATAGGATAGAGTTAGGAAATGCTGAAGCATATAACTAGAGGAAAAGGTCAAGTGTGTATCATGGACACCCACTTTTCCTCCTTTAAATACATGTTTCTTTTCCCGCAAGTTTATTGTGAATGGCTTTTTTCCCAGCCAACAACTCAGTACTAGGGTGTGCTGGGCTTTGAGCAGGAAGCAACATAACCTTCTGGTTTAAAGAGAGAAACACCTGGGAAGGAAGCAAATTTTCAAACTGTGGAGCAAGGAGGTGGAAAAAAGAGCATCATAGAGGCAGGCGGAAAGCAGGTAAAGGCTAAACAGGTCCTTTGATTGTCCACTTTCTCTGAAAATTCAGAGTACAAAACCCAAATCACAAATTCCAACTTGGTGTCAGAGCTAACTCATGGGGCCATATTTCTAGATAGTAGTCAAAATGGGACTATTGCTCTTTGCTCTTTCAAAAAGAAAATCTAGAAAAGGATGTTAATATGATCCATTTTTGGATTTGGCAACCTGAGCCAGAGGTGCTGTAATGCAGGGAGGGTAGGGGCATGCTTTCTGCTTGCTTCTAGCACTGTAGCAAAAAAACACAATTGGAAACTTTCATGAAGTGGGATGGTGAGGAAGAGGCTTCTTTCTTTGTCCTTCCCCAACTGTCTGAGGCCCAGGTCCAGCCTGAGCCTGGATAGATTGAGTAGAGAGATGGAGCCCAGTGCTGTGACATCCGTTCTGCAAAATGGCCCGGTGTCCTAGCTCCTAACAGGGCACAATGCATTCCCTCTGCCCAAGACATGGAGACATTGGTACACCTTGAAAATCCAGGTTGTCATTAGAATAAATGTTGTCTTGCTATTCATGGGCAGATAAGAGAGCATCCTGTTCCCCAAAAAGATCAAGCAGAGGGGCTTCAGGAATGTCCCAAAGTCATTCAAAATATCTACTCAGCTCCGGGGGCAGCAGCAGAAGCAGCAACAGCAGCAGCGGGCAGCTCCCTTACTCTAAGAACTTGTGAATGTCTCCATTAAGCTGGTACTGGGGGCCCATGACAGCTTCGTTGAGCAGTGGACAATGAGCTGGGCCACACTGACAACTGTGGATCATCATGATGTTCTTGGCAAAGGAGCTGCCATCAGGGCAATGGAAGGGCACACTCAGTGTGCGAGTGCGCAAGGGCACACAACAGCGCCCATCCAGGCAGGTCCCACAGAAGCTAGGCTGGTAACGTCGTGGGCTCTTGCACCCTGCATAGGTGAACCTCACTGGTTCCTGTACCTTGTGTGTCCGCAGGCACTTCTTACCTTTCTAAGAGAGCAAAAGAAATGACATTTAGTGCCCATAAATTGGCTGGGAACAGTGCTTTTTAAATTGTGGGCCCCAACCCCAAATTGCCTCCCTTTAGCTCAATGTTGGGTTCACAAAGATATTTATTTATTTATGATATTTCTACCCTGCCTCTCTCAAACCCGAAGGTGACTCAAGGCAGCTGTAAAACATAGGCAGCTATCTGATGCCATTAAAACAATGTAAAAATTACAATAAACATTTTAAACAGAATTATAAAATACATACATTAAAACCTTTTAAAACATATAATACCACTACCTTCACTATTATCCTCATTGTCCAAAAACATTGTCTAAGCCATTCTAGTATTCGATTTCACATAGTTCTATGTTTATCTATTACATTAGGTTTCCAAAGACTTGTTGAAAAAGCCATGTTTTCCCTTTTCTGTGGAAGGTCAGGAGGGAAGAGGCTTATCTAATATCCCTGGGAGGGAGTTCCACAGCTGAGGGGCCACCACTGAGAAGACCCTGTCTCTCTTCCCTGCCAGTTGTGCCCACAAAGAAGGCGCGACCAAGAGCATGGTCTCCCCAGATGATCTTAAACTGCTAGATGGTTCATAGGGAGAGATACGTTTAGATAGGTAAGCTGGGTTGGAACTGTTTAGGACTTTATAGGCTAAAGCCAGTACTTTGAATTGTGATTGGTGGCAAACCGGCAGCCAGTGGAGCTGGCATAACAAGGGAGTTGTATGCTGCTTGAATGCTGCTCCGGTGAGCAATCTGTCTGCTGTCAGTTGGACCATTTGAAGCTTCTGAACAGTCTTCAAAGGCAACCCCACATAGAGCATGTTGCAGTAGTCTATACTATACAGTAGTCTATAAATTGGCAACAGTAAAAGGTTTCTGAAGGCCATTCACCTATTTCCACAAATCTGTTAGCCACACTCTGGTTACATCCCGTATAAACTACTGCAACGCTCTCTACGTGGGGTTGCCTCTGAAGACTGCTGACTTTTAGAAAACTGGTGAAAACCTGGCTCTGGAATTTAGCATTTGATGAGTGAGTCAATAACTCCTGATCACATGGACAGATGGTGATGAATTGTGACTTCATTTTGACGACTTGGCATTATGTAATTATATGATCGTATTTTAATGTTTTAGTGAATTATGGGATGTGATGTTTAAACTATTGTTTATGAATTTTTCATTGGAACCAGACTGAGTCCCTCTGCGGAAGTTGAGAAGACCGGTATATAAAAGTTCTAAATAAATAAATAAATAAATAAATAAATAAAAATAAAACATGCAGGAATAATAGTGTGGAAAATGCTTCAGCAGTCCTTCATAAAAAGGAACATTGATTTGTTCAGAAAGACTTGCAAATGCTGAATTATTATAAATAAATGTTTAGTTTTTATATCTATTTGTGGAAAAAAATATTAGGCAGCAAGAAGTTACAAGTGGAAAAAATTTAAATCCTGGTCCATATTTCTGGGACTAAGGTTAGTGGGAGCGAGAAAAAAATGGAGGCAAGCAAAAAGGAATGGGAAAACCTGGTGCTTTGTTTTGGATTACAACTCCCAGAGCTGGAGGAAACTAGAAAGGCCTTTGAATGTAACCTTCTGCCCTGCAGCTAAAGCATTCTTGAAATTTGGCCATCTAACCACTGTTTAAAGACCTGAAAAGAAGGAGCGTTCACTACCCACTGGAGAAATCTATTTGACTGTTAAACAGCTCTTACCATCAGGAAGTTCTTCCTAATGTTTAGACAGAGTCTCTTTTCTGGCAGTTTAAATCCATTGGTTTGCTCCTTATCTCTGCAGCAGCAGAAAGCAATTTAGCTCCATCTTCTACAGGATTCCCAGCAACCCCTACTCATTAGGCCAATATCAGGTGTTAGGGGTGTTGTAGTTCAAAATAGCTACGTATAGGATACCAGACATAGCTGACGCTGAAGCAAATCTCAGTATACAACTGGGGAATCCCAATCCCTCCCATTTAGTATAGGCAGACATGTAATTCCTAAAATAACCTAGGAGGACTCACTCCATATTGGCAAACCCAAGATAGGACAAGGGTGAGTGCTAGTATGAATCACTCCCATTAAACCAAGGGTGGGAATTATATTGTCCCTCAGATGTTACTGGCCTACAACTTCCATCAGCCCTGATACTGGGAGCTGTCATCCAATGACATTTAGAAGGCTAGAGTTGCCCTCCTCTGGTTAGATGTTCCAGTTCTACATGGCAGAAAAGCTGCCATTGAGGGTTGTTATGAGCACATGGAGACCAAAACCAAGAAATTAGGCTTGAATTGCAGGAAGAATTGCCTCCTTCACTGTCTAACCTAGCCAACCTCACCTTTAGCTTGGTGAAATCAGGTTGTCCACAAGGCCTGATCTGGCAGAGTCGAGTCTCTTTGACCAGTTTGCATTGGGGATTGTCGCTGGTGACACGAACAGAGATGCCAAAGCCACAGGTCTTGGAACATGGTGACCAGCTGGAGGTCTGAGCCAAGCATTTGTGCTGCTGTTTAGCGACTTGACCCTTGATGAGCGGCCCCCATGCTGGAGAGAGAAGGATCCCAGAAGAAACAGTGAGCAAATCAAAATGTAGTCAGCATCTTCATCTGACAAGCAACAATAAGACTGAGAAGGGAGTTTAAAACAAACAGATGGATTCAGAACATAAATGAGCAAACAACTGTGGGAGTGTACAGCTGGCTACTTTAAGAAAAAAAGACATGCTCAGTGAAGTGATCCAGGGAAACTCTTTTCCTTAGACAGTCCCACTATTCAAAATAGTAAATGCAGGAGGAGAGGACGGCAAAGCTATCTTTTGGAGAAGAAATATGGAAAAATGGGATGCAGGAGAGAAAATAGAGAAATACAAAAATGCCTAGAATGTCGTGGTTTAGATCTCAGCATAATTGTGACAGGGTCCAGGACTGGCTGTATCCTTAGGCAGAGTGAAGCAGGCTCCTTTTGATGGTCAAGGAAACAGAACTGGGAGTAATGATTTTTGGACTGTAGCTCCCAAAATCCACCAGCTAGGCAGCAGCCATGCTGGGTAAGGGATCTTTAAAACCAGCATTTACGAGCTCTGCTTAAAAGGGCATTAAATAATTAGTTCTTTATGTATGATATTTGTAATTTTTTCCTTATTAAAAATGAGGAACAGTACTTTGTCAGTTTCAAAATTGCTCACATGGCTTTGAATACTCTGTACCTTGACTTGGGTGAAAAAATTAAGGGGAATAACACTTTCTACTCTGCTTCATGTCTCATGGTGTCTTGGGCCATCTCTGGCTAATGAGTGATGAACTCCTTTGCACACCCAGATGGATATTGCCTCCTGCTCCCTCGGTCCTAGACAATAGCAGACGGTTCCTTCCATGTCAGTGGGGCAGGGAAAGTTGTTTCAGTGAAAGAAACATTAAAGCAGCTCTCCAAGGTGCTGAATCCTGCCCTCCAAATAGGTTAAGCACATTCAAAGGTCACACTAAAACCCAGAGTTAATTCATTGCCTGTGCTGACCAGGAAGGCGCCAGATACTAATGGCCCCAGTAGAAGCAAAGTACCTTCTTCTGGGAAGGACCCCCTTCTGCTTTGCCCTTCAACCAGGTGACTTTGCACATTCTCCCTACAGTCCCCAGGGAGCATGGGCAAAGAAAGTGTTGCCTAGAGATCAGGTGAAAACTCCCTCTCCCAGGAATGTTTTCCTCCCCCTCCCTCAACAGCCACACAATTAGGCTTAGCAGAAATAGCAGCTCAGAACCAAAGCAAATGCAAGGGAAGGATCATATTTCATGGCCCTCAGGAGCACCAGATTTAGATCCCGAAAGGGCAAAGGACACGATCCCTATTTTTGTTTAGCATTTCAATCCTGCTTAGGTGCCACTTCTAACACAGCTTTTCATTTGGAAAAAGCTGTTTTTAAGCTCAACCCATTCAGTTTATTCACAAAGTGCAAGGCTTCCCTGACTGCGACGCCACAGCTTGGCTAAAGTACAGTGGCATACTGGTACATTCAGAAATGTGGATATTCACATAGCTGCAACTGTAAGAGGACTAAAAAAAATGTGTAGGCAGGTGCTTGGACCCCTGTCAACACAATCCCAGCAGATTTCTTCTTCACCAAGGTATTTTATAAACCAAATGGCCTCACTTCTGCACTCAAAACCAAGCCACTGCAAAATGCTCTTTGTTACAAGAAAGTAGTTCTAAGCATGTATTGGGGAGGGGGTTATCAGGACTCCATAAATGTTGTAGAGGGTTAATGGACATCACATTTTGCAGGTTCCTGTTCACAGGAGAAAAGGGTTACTGGATCTGACAACCTAGGTCAATCCACTACTGGGCCCAAACTGACAGCAAGTTTCTCAGATCAGCTTCATGGGAGCCACATCTTAGAAGACATTGTTGCTTCCTCTTTTCATTGGCTTTGTAAGTGTTGTTTGAGAAGACACATGCAAAGGAAGTGACAGCACAGATAGGTGGTATAGATGGGATGCTTGTTTTTTTTTGGTCGTGTCAGGAGTGACTCCTGGTGTGAGAGAATTGGCTGTCTGCAAGGACGTTGCCCAGGGGACGCCTGGATGATTTTGATGTTTTTATCATCCTTGTGAGAGGCTTCTCTCATGTCCCCGCATGAGGAGCTGGAGCTGATAGAGGGAGCTCATCCGCCTCTCCCCGGATTTGAACCTGCGACCTTCAGTCCTGCCGGCACAGGGCTTTAACCCACTGTGCCACCTGGGGCTCCTGGATGGGATGCTGCCAGAAATCAATTGAAGGAGCAGGTGGCTCATCTGGCAGCAAAATCACTCAGTGAGCAAGCAGATGATTTTAAGCCTTGCCATGTGGCAGAGTAATAAACATCCCGCTTTGACATCCTACCAGAAGAAATGTTCTTGGCAGATACATAAGACTTTGTGTTATCAGAGCAGCAAATTTCACCTAACAACACACCCACCCACCATACAGAGAAGAGAAGGTTCCTATTCCTTGAAGCACAAAAGGCTGAAAATCCCCCAAAATGCCATCCTTTCCTGAAACCCAAATTCTGTATCAGAGGTGGTCACTTCACCATGCCTAATGGTAGGGGCAGTCCTATAAAGATAGGGCCATTAGTAGTGACTCAAAGCTGTTGCTTGCTTATGACCATGTTCACTTTTCCTACAGGGCAGGACAACTGGAAAATAGAGGGAGAAATTGTGGAGGCCATGACAGACTTTGTATTTCTAGGTGCAAAGATTACTGCAGATGCAGACTGTGGCCAGGAAATCAGAAGACACTTACTTCTTGGGAGGAGAGCAATGTCCAATCTCGATAAAATAGTAAAGAGTAGAGACATCAGACTGGCAACAAAGATCCGCCTAGTCAAAGCCATGGTATTCCCTGTAGTAACCTACGGATGTGAGAGCTGGACCTTAGGGAAGGCTGAGCTAAGGAAGATCGATGCTTTTGAGCTGTGGTGTTGGAGGAAAGTTCTGAGAGTGCCTTGGACTGCGAGAAGATCCAACCAGTCCATCCTCCAGGAAATAAAGCCCGACTGCTCACTGGAGGGAATGATACTAGAGACAAAGTTGAAGTACTTTGGCCACATCATGAGGAGACAGGAAAGCCTAGAGAAGACAATTATGCTGGGGAAAGTGGAAGGCAAAAGGAAGAGGGGCCGACCAAGGGCAAGATGGATGGATGGCATCCTTGAAGTGATTGGACTGACCTTGGAGGAGCTGGGGGTGGTGACGGCTGACAGGGAGCTCTGGCGTGGGCTGGTCCATGAGGTCATGAAGAGTCGGAGATGACTGAACGAATGAACAACAACAACAACAGGGCAACTCTGAGTAATTAGCATATAACTCCTGCAAGCTCTAAGTTTGGGGGAGCGGAACATGTCACTCTCCAAATGTTGTTAGATGTAACCCCCATTTACCTTAGCCAATGCTAAGAGCTGCAACTCAGCAACATGGAGGATGACATAATTTCCATTCCTACTGTAAGTTGAAAACAGAGCTGGGAAACTGCCAACAACACCACCTCTGGATGATAACTTGCAGAATCTCCTAGTCAGTATTAACTTTTCCAAGCTCTAGTGAAACAGACTCCCTACAAGCACATATCATACAAGGACCTGTCTTCAGGTTCCTAAAACAATTTAAAAATTGCACAGCTTCTCCTTCTTCTGATATTTTCTCTCCAGATTTACAAAGAATTTCAAATATGGGCTAGGATCCTTTTGGTGAGTCCCAACCGTTGAACGTTGAGTCAGAACATAGGCAAAGCCAACAGAGTAAATGGCTCTTCTCTAGTAAGAACTAACAGTAGGGTCTTGGACATGACAACAACCACAACTGTATATATATGTATAGCACCATCTGTGTATATGTACAATGCACACAGAAAGGATTATTTCCCTGGGAAACACAGCAAGTGTTAGGGCAGTCTTTCAAGCCTGGCATTTCAAGCATGTCTTGGACTACTGCACTTACCATTTAAAAATAATGGTCCTTTGGGCCATGCTGGCTGGGAATGATCGTAACTATAATTCACTCTTTCTGGAGGATCTCAAGTTGGGAAAGACCATATTAGAGTCACTTCACTGAATGAGACACAAAATCCCAGATGCAAATGTGTTTGGTTTGAACAGGTAGCCTCCCTTCTCTAATCCTTGCAGCTTTTCAGAACTTGTCCCTTCAACCCACTCACCTGGCAGGTTCTTCCAGTGCCCGCCTTTGCCCAGATAGATGAGCTCATTGCCATTGACTTCTCCTTTTGTGTTGTATTCAAAGGTGACCCCTCCATACTTCTTGGGTCCTTTGATGCACACAAACTTCTTGCAGCACTGGCCAGGCACCTTCAGGAGTCGAGGGCTAGGGCAGCCAAGGGAGGCCAGAGGCAGCTCTAGTGGGCAGAGTGGCTGGCAACCCACAGCCCCATCAATGCAAGTGCACTGGTGTTTACAGCTGGGCTGGAAATTCTCTCCATTTTGGTAGATACGGCCATTATATTCGCAGGTCCGCCCTTCCTGCTTTGCTGGGAAGGAAAAAGCAAAGAAAGATACATAATACTGTATTCTGGCAGGCAGACATTCAATCACCCAGATACTTACTGGGGAGGACAAAAAACAGAAGCATTTGGATCATGTCCCTGCATCAGACAGCATTGTGGAATAATGGTTTGATAACAGCACTTTGTAGAGCACTTATAGCCCCCCTCCAGTCCTAAATCATACTGGAGAAACTAAGCAAATATTCCTTTTAATTCTTATAAAGGATGGTGGGAGTTGGGAGTCAGCCACATCCATGACTGGACCCATGGAGTTGGGAGTCCCACCCATGATAGACCTGAACCAAACTTGGAACACATACCCTTCATAACCCAACCTAAAGTACTGGCAGGGTTTTTTTTGGGGGGGGGGGCTGATAGAACATGATGGGAGTCCAGACACATTCCAAAAGCCATGTGATTTCCACCCACGACTGAGAGCATGATTCTCCCCTAATTGGTCAGAGGAGCAAGTCAGCCTATTTGCTAGGTTGTGTATCCCAACTTCCTTACCCCATCACTAGGCAGGTTTGGAATGATGAGAGCTGAATCCCTCCCCCCCCTCCCCCCGACAAAGACTGAGCCATCTGAATGGTTAAGAGGACAGCCACAAGTTGCAGCCTGTACATATCTGATAAGATTTTCAGCCTCCCAGGTCTTGAGCTGATGTAAGTTACAGCCCATTATATTATACAGGTATGAATCTTCTAATAGGACAATTTGTAAAATTGAAAAAGTAATAATAAGTATTTCTAATAAACAGCATTACAAAACATCTATATGCGCTAGTATATATACAAATTTTCAGACATTTCTGGAGTAGTAGTATGCAATCTCTATATAAATGGAGTATTGAATATTGAAATAAAATTAATAGGTCTATCAATGGGTTCTCATTTATGATTTTTTAAAAAGTGTGTGTATATATGTGTGTGTAATAAAAATTTAATATTTTAAAGAATTATTTACATGTTGTCTCAAATATTGTAAAAGTAGATTGTCAAAGGCTTTCAAAGCCTGAATCACTGGGATGTTGTGCTGTTTCCAGGCTGCATGGCTGTGTTCTAGCAGCATTCTAGCAAGATGCAGGTGAAATGTTAGGAGAAACTGCTGCTAGAACACGGCCATGCAGCCCAGAAACCATACAACACCCTCTTGTAATCATGTTTTTATTCAATAGCCACTGAAGAAGGCCAATTTGGGATAGTGCTGAAATACTCTGATCTTTTTAAAGAAAAATGAATTGACAATTGCATAGCACATGGAATCTGGTCTCCTTTTATTCTTACACTAAAAACAAAACAAAAACATGAGGTAAATTCTGCAGGAAGGATGCAATTTGAAGCTAACTTTGAACTGCATTCAATGGTCAATGTATATGCATAACCACATAATCCAGATCTACCTCAAAGCATGTTCATCCACTGTTAACTTTATATTCTGCTTTTTTCCAGACTAGGACTTAAAATGGCTCACAGAAAACTCCAAAATACAATAAAACATATAAAATATACAAAATCAAGTTGAAAACGGTATTGAATAACAGTAAATTAAAATCAATATAAATCTCTGAAACAGATTAAAAATAGCAAAACACCAAAAAAGAGTGTTATTGTTAAAATCGGTTTCCAAAGGCTTGCTAGAAGAGAAATGTCTTAAACTGCTGATGAAAGGAAAACAAAGAGGGAACCTTTCTAACTTCCCTAGCAAGGGAGTTCCCAAACATGCGAGAAGGTCACTGTGCCTATGAAGGTGGTGGAGCAGAGGGAAGTCCCTCAGCTGGGCTCAGAGGGAAAAGATCCAGTCCTTTACCGGGGGGGGGGGGGGGGGGGGGTAGCTGTGTTGGTCTAGAATATCACTCTGTCAATGTGCCAAGTGAGAAAACAGACACCTATCTTGCAAAAATTGGGTTTTAGGGACCAAATCAACAAGAGAAAAGTGTTTGGAGCTTTAAATAGCTGTGTGAAAACAGGATGTGACAGCTCACAAGGACTGGGATCAGGTTGCAGTCACAACAACAGGAGCAGCCTGGGTCTAGGCTGGAACTGGGAAGCCTTCTGCTGGATGTAGATCCTGGTGAAACATATTTTATGGAGACAGCCTTCACCTTCCTCCCCTGCCAATATTCAGCCCTCTCTTACTCTCCTCCTGTCTCTCATTGGCACATATGCCTCTGAACTATGGCCTTCAAGTCACACTTCCAGCAAGGGACAGATATCCTCTCTACCAAAAGAAGGGCACTCAAATACATCAGCCTTGGTGTTCATCCACAAAAAAGATGGGAGCAGTGTTGCCCCCAGTCTGAATGCAAACATCAGAGAAAGAGGTGTACATCTCTTTACTGCTTATATGGGAGGAAGATGCTATTCCTCTATAGAGGAAGTCATAGGATGGCAGTTTCTCTAGATCAACTGGGAAGCACAGAGCTTTCAATGCCTCTGTGGTCTCAGGGTGTGTATGATTGCCCAGTGGAGGGCAACAAACCCTGGAAAATAGCTTGTAGCAAAACTGCCTCAGTTTTGGAACATGTATGGGCACCTATTCTCCCAGGCCACAATTTTCTATCTCATAAGAAGAAGGGTGGGGTGGAATGTATTGAAAAACAGACTTCCTGGATTTGCTACTGGGATGTATTGGGGAAGCAACACAAAACTCGCCCAAAGGGAGACATATCTCCAAGTGCCATTGCTACCTTACTGTGACAGAGATAACTGTCTGTTGTTTTTCTCAGCCACTGAGCTGATACAACACAGTTACTAGTATTATGGAAGGGCTACAATAGACTCCACTTGGCATTTTCTCCTTTCTGGATCTAGAAGAAACAGAGAACATTGCATGTGTGCTTTGAATGGATAGATGCCAGCCCCCTCTGTCTCAGTTTGGCTTCAAGTTCACAATTAGACCAAGATGCCAGTTTCTTCTATAAAGTGCCATGGTTGAATGCAGTTGTCACTTTACCAAGTAGCAACTATGTCAACATCCATATTTGCAGTAAATCATTACTAGTAATTTTCAGTACTTCCTTGCAGAGCTCACATAGAACAAAAATGCAATATTTTTCCTTGAATAAAAAGTACTTAGTAAAAAAAGCCTGAAATGCCATTCACAATAAGACCTGGCCTGAGGCAGAGAGCTGGCATCTCAAGAGAGGAGAATGGCCAGAAGGAGCTGCCTCTCAGCTGTCATGCCTTAAACAGATTAAATCTATTTACTACCACCATGAACAGAACCAGACAGCAACACAGCCGTTTACAACATTTCTCTTTTCTGATTTCTCATTTCAAAGTAAAATGGTTGAAATCAACCCTCCTCCAACCCCACAAACCATCCAGATAAATACAACCAACATGTTTCTCACATTCCATTTAGACCACAAGGCAATGTGTGAAACAGCATTCCCACCAAGCTCACAGTGTCATTTTTAGGCATGCTGGATGTGCCATTTGGGTATGCCAAGGTGCCCCCCTCCCATCTTCCGCACCCCTTACCCCAACAGATGCCTCGATTAGCCAAGGGGTCCGCCCCAAAATTGCACTCCAGGCCCTTGTGAGGATCGCATGGTGAGAGCCTGTCACAATCCTCATTGAGCTGCCGGGCACAGACTTGGCAACAGCCGCAGTCATCCAGAACTATGCTGACTCCCGGGGGACAGCGAGGCAGGCCTGGGGGGCAGCGGCAAGTGGAAGGGCAGCGGCAGGACACCTGGAGATGGAGAAGGGGAGGGAGCAGGAGAGAAACAGCCATCAGGAAAAGTCCCCTTTGGGGAATTGCAGTCCAAAATAAAGGAACCCAGGCTTGAGAGCACATCCTTCTGCACACAGCTTGTGAGGGAAAAATATTTACACCAGTCATGGAACATATACAAATAAACTACCTACAATCAACATATTATAATTTCAACTATTGTCACACAAGAAATTAAATCCTGCCCAACCATTTTTCTCTACTTTCTGTATTAATGGGACAGAACAATAATTTGCAACACAAAAAATTAATTGGTTTTTAAAATATCTACTATTGTTCCACTAGAAATTGCCAGAATCTGGAAGACAGATGCCTTGGTGGCAATGAGGGCATGAGATATCTAAGATTTTGAGACTAAAAAAAGAATACATAAATCCAAAACCTTTTGCTGAAAGATGGTTTTCATTAATTGACTATATTAACAACAACCGCCAACAGCTGAAACCTCCAGCTCAAAGTTTCAGATTTTGGAATGAAGTGCTACAAATAGATTGATTGGGCTCGTAATTACCTTGACAATCATTACAGTGGGCCCTCAGGATCCAAGACCCAGGGGGTACTGCCAGCACTGAAGAGATGATCCTCCACCACCAATTTAGTCTGAATGCCCAATCAACCTTCCCAAAGCAGTCACTTTACTCTCAACTCAAGGACAGAAAATGGAAGTCTGGTGGACAGCAAAAGATATTTCAAGATAGGCTTAAAGTAATAGGCTTTAAAAATGTGGTATAAACCAAAACTGTGAAGCCCTGGCCCTAGAGTGTTCTAACTGGAGGTCAGCAATTGCCAACAGTGTTGTGGATTTTGATGAGGAATGGTAAAGGTTTTCCCCGACATTAAGTCCCATCTTGTCCAACTCTAGGGGTTGGTGCTCATCTCTATTTCTAAGCCAAAGAGCCGGTGTTGTCCGTAGACACCTCCAAGGTCATGTGGCTGGTATGACTACATAGAGTGCTGTTACCTTCCCACTGGAACGGTACCTATTGATTTACTTACATTTGCATGTTTTTGAACTGCTAGGTTGGCAGAAGCTGGCGTTAACAGCGGGAGCTCACACCACTCCCCAGATTTGAATCTGTAACCTTTTGATCAGCATGTTCAGCAGCTCAGCGGTTTAACCCACTGCACCACCAGGAGCTCCAATGAGGAATGGAGAGAGGGCAAAAGGGAGAAAAGTGCCAAGAGGAAGGTGTGTCAAACAAACCCATGTTGTGACTGCCTTCCATCTGGAAATTGATGTCCTCACTGCGAAAGATCATGCGGATGCAGAATACTTCTCCACAGTCACTTGTGGACTTACCGCCAAGACGCTAGCCTTGGAAGACAGTCATACTTGGCCATGAGGGATTGCCTATGATCGCAGGAGTTCTTAGCCTTGGGTTGCTGTGAGTTTTCTGAGTTGTATGGCCATGTTCTGGAAGCATTCTCTCCTGACATTTTGCCCACATCTATGGCAGGCATCCTCAGAGGTCACAACCTTTGAGTATTCCTGCCATAGATGTGTGTGAAATGTCATGAGAAAATGCTTCCAGAACATGGCCATACAGCCCAGAAAACTCCCAGCAACCCAGAGATTCTGGCCATGAAAGCCTTTGACAAGACGCTCTTAGCCTTGTTCATTCCACAGACCCCTTTGCAAGTCAGGTGAAAACCACGGGCACCTTCTTGGAATGTAACAGCAGATACTTTTATGACACTCATCACTGGGATGCCTTTAAATTAAATGTTAGGATTATTCAAAATTATGTTCTATAAAGGTAATAAGTTGATTTTTTTTTTCAGTTCAAGAACACGGATCCCTTGAAATCTTTCCATTGAGCTCCAGGGGGTCCATAGTCTCCTGATCAAGTAAGCTTCTTAACCCAGTATCCACACAATGTGGATTTGTTCTTCAACATATGAACCTGAATGATGTTGGTTGACACCAGTTGTTTTACATCAACCTGCGTGCTTCTGCTTTATTAATTCATTGCAAACCAAATCAAATCAAACCCCAACCACCACCACCCCTCCACAAAACAAGAGGAACTGCTAAGGGAGCTGGGTCTGTTTAGCTTGGAGAAAAGCTGGCTGAGAGGAGGAGGCATTTTTTCTTTGTCAGGAGCAACTTGAGAAATTGCAAGTCGCATCTGGTGTGAGAGAATTGGCAAGGACATTGCCAAGGGGACATCCGGATATTTAATGTTTTACTATCCTTGTGGGAGGCTTCTCTCATGTCCCCGCATGCAGAGCTGGAGCTGACAGAGTGAGCTCAACCTGCTCTCCACAGACTTGAACCGCGTCCTATCAGTTAGCAGTCCTGCTGGCACAAGGATTTAACCCATTGCACCACCATGGGCTCCAGAAGGGGGCATAAGAGCCATGTTTACATATCTGAAATGGTGTCACATTGAGGAGGGGGCAAGCTTGTTCTCTGCTGCTCCCGATAGGGAGCAATGGATTCAAATGGCAGGAAGAGACACTCAATCTAAGCCAGTGGTTCTTAACCTGTGGGCCACGGACCACCAGTGGACTGTGAGGATGAAAATCTGGTCCGCAAGCCTCTTTCCTCTTTATTTTGTTTCCACTCCTTTCACGCGGCCTGCCACTCCTTTCCTGTCACTGATCATGGCATACGTTCTGTATCAGAAACTAGAGCTGATGTGGTCTATCCAATGGAATTTTCTGAATCAGCACTCCAAACTGAATCTAAAGTTGACAAAAAACTGATTTGTAACCGTTTTGGTACTAATGTTGGAGAGTGGTCTCTGGTCAAGTGGTCCCTGGGCAAAGTCGTTCCAGGGTAAGTGGTTTTTACTGCCCTCAAGTTTCTCTGGTCAATTGGTCCCTGGTCAAAGAGTCGCTGGTCAAGTGGATTTTACTGCCCTCAAGTGATCCCTGGTCAAAGGGGTCCCTGGTCAAAAAAGGTTGGGAACCAATGGTCTAAACATTAGGAAGAACTTCTTGAGGGCAGTAAAATCTGCTTCTCCCTGGAATTTTGTGGATCCTCCTTCTGTGGAGGTCGTTAAGCAGAGACGGGATGACCATCTGCCGGGGCTGCTTTGATTGTATGTCCCTGCCGGGCAGAATGGGCTGGAGGGCTCTCCCTTCCGACTCTCGGATTCGCCAGCTCCATCCCTGCGCTGCGCTGGGGGGCGATTCCCTTGGAAGCAGGCGGCGCCCAAAGGGCTTCCTAGATGGCGCTGCGCCCCGGCCTCCCTCCCTCCCCTCCCCTCCCGTGGAAACCTCCGTCACGGAATCTCCCGCCGGCCGCGATCAAAGGGGCGCCAGCCCCCTCCCTCCCTCCGGTTCCCGAGCCCCGAGGTGTGTGTGTGTGTTTGTTTTGGATGGGGAGGGAATCAAATAACAGCAAGGCGCTCACTCTCCCTTCTAGATCACCTCCTCTCTCTCCATCGCGCTCTCTTTACAGCCGGAGGAGATTGAGACCTCCCGTTAAACCCCCGAGAGGCGGGCACCCCCTCCTCTGGACATGCGCAGAAAGGCTGCTTCTTTCTGCGAGAGACCCCCCCCTCCCTTTTCTCCCGGGGCGCCGATGAGGCCTGTCACTCACCTGAGAGGCGGAGGAGGCGGCGCTGCCTAAGGGTTACTACTCACCAGAGAGACGCACAGCAGCAGGAAAGGCACGCCGAGCCGGACAAATACCCTCATTGCTGGGCGACCAGGAACCACCACCAGGGAGGAGGGAGAAACAATAAATACACGTTCCCAAAGTAGAGAAGAGAAAACGCTCAGGGGAACTGACTCTCCAAGGAATTGGTGGTTGCAAACTTGTCCCCGGCAGGATGGGTCCGCTGCGCGCGCTCTCCCTCCCTCTCCGTCTCCCTCGCGCGCGCTTCTTTGCCTATTTAGATCATCTATTTTTTGCGCACCGTTCACTCACTACCTCCAAAGCAAGAAGGTTGTTTCTGTATTTATATTTCCCCGGCGCCCCGCCCACCGAGCGGGCCGCGAGCCAATAGGAACCTCCTCGCCGGCCAATAGCAACGGTGGCGGACTTCCAAACATTCCAGGGGCGGGGCCTTGGGGCGGTGGGAGGGGCCGAATGAATGGAGTCATTCATAAAATTAGAAGGCCGGCGCATTCCGAGGCAGAGCGCGCGCTCCCCGAGAAGAGGGGGAGGGAGGGAGGGAAAGAGGGTCTCGCGCCGTGGGAGCCCGGCTCTGTCGCGGGCGGCGCAGAAGGCTCCGGCCTCCCACGGGGACCCTCTCTCCGCCCGCAGGCATCCCGGACACGCCGAAAACTCCTTCGAGCCAAGCCAGCGGGTAGTGCAGCTGTAAGGCTGCATTAATTCCGCAGTGTAGGTCCAGTCCTCATGTCCCCCACGTTGTGCTCAGAGGGCTCTGGAGACCCTGAAGGAACTAAGGCCACAAAAGCAGTACAGGGACCACATGTAGCCAGCCCCACAGAAAGACTTTGCCCAGCCCTGGGATACAGAGAAAGAAGTAGCACTTCAACTACTCGTATAAGCCTTTTATAAAGGCAACTATATTTCTAATAATAATAATAATAATAATAATAATAATAATAATAATAATAAGCCATTAGAACCAATGCCATCAAAGCCAGAATTGAAAAGTCGACAACAGATCCCAGATGTAGACTCTGTAAGGAAGCAGATGAAACAATAGGTCGCATCCTCAGCTGCTTCAAGAAGATCACGCAGACAGACTACAAGCAGAGGCATAACACGGTTGCTCAGATGATTCATTGGAACTTGCGCCACAAATGCCATCTTCCTGTGACAAAGAACAGGTGGGATCACAAGCTGGAAAAAGTTACAGAGAATGAACACGGCAAGCTACTCTGGGACTTCCAAATTCAGACAGACAGAGTTTTGGAGCACAATACTCCTGACCTCATGATCATGTTACAAAACCAAATATGGATAGTCGATGTTGCAATCCCAGGTGACAGCAGGAATGAAGAGAAACAACGGGAAAAGCTAACACGATATGAGGATTTAAAGATCGAACTGCAAAGACTGGCACAAGCCAGTCAAGGTGGTCCCAGTGGTGATTGACACACTAAGTGCAGTGCCTAAAGACCTTGGCACTTAAACACAATCAGCCTTGACAAAATTACCATCTGCCAGCTGCAGAAGGCCACCTTACTGGGATCTGCTCACATTATTTGCCACCTTACTGGGATCTACACACATTATTTGCCGATACATCACACAGTCCTAGACATTTGGGAAGTGTCTGGCGTGTGATTCAATACAACAGCCAGCAGAGTGATCTTGTCTGCTGTGGGCTCATCTTGTTGTGTTTCAAATAATAATAACTTTATTCTTATATCCTGCCGCCATATCCTCGAAACGACTTGGGGCAGCTTACAAGGGAGGCAAGGCCACACTACAGATAAAAACAGCATTAAAATCCATCAAATAAAAACATAAACACAATCAATGGCTATATGACCTTGGAGGTGTCTATGGACAATGCTGGCTCTTTGGCTTAGAAATGGAGATGAGCACCATCACCTCAGAGTCACATACGACTAGACTTAATGTCAACGGGTAACCTTTACCTTTACTTTACCACCTAAATACTCAAAACGTACCAGATCCTGTACAATCTTGGAAGCTAAGCAGGGTTGGTCCTGGTTTATACTTGGATAGGAGACCACCAAGAGATACCAGGGGATCCATTTCACAGGAAGGAACAGACAAAACCACATTAGCTTACAAAAAACCTTGAAGGGAATCACTTAGATTAATTGACCACATCACTTTATACCACATTATCAGTCATGGCTTCAATTTATGTAATCCTAGGATTTGTACTTTAGAGCCCATCTGATCTTGGAAGTTAAGCAAGGTCAACAATGATTAATACTTGGGTGGAAGACTGACAAGGAAGACCAGGTGTTCTAAGCCATACTTCAGAGGAAGGAACTGGAAAACCCACCTCTGAGTATTTCTTGCCTAAGAAAATCCTGTAAAATTCATCAGGCTGCCACATGTTGATAGGCGACTTGAAGGCCCAATACATGCAACCTCATGAGCACCAATGAGCTCAGCTGGGGTTTTAAACAAAACAAAACAAACAAAAGGTTGTACCTGTATATCAAAAAGGATCCCAAGTGATCACACAACGTCTAGTATTAGAATGAATCAGTGGTGGTCCTTCAGCCATTTTGGGTGAAATCTGCCCAAGATGCCTGCCACCTTCATTCCACCTAAGCTGATGGAATTTGGTTTCATGGCATTGGAGTTAGAAAGTTTTTTTTTCTCAACAGGGTTTCCATAAACCAGGAATATAAAACCACGTGGTTGTCCAAATATTGGATTGCAGCTTCCATGAACGCTCTTTAACACAATCAGTGGTGAGGGATGGTAGAAGCTATAGCCCAACAACATTTGGAGATCTGCGTGATTCCTCCCTATCACCAACAATAACAGGCTGGAACTCAAAGATTGAGTCCATCAGCGGAAACAGGCAGGATCCCCATTCTAATCCCATGAATTTTTCATATTCCTTACTACAATTCCTGATAGACTGAACATTTTCCTTTTCCACATTTTATTGAAATTTCCCAGAAAAAAAGCAAGGACAATCAGTACAGTCCTCTTTCTGGAATATCTTAGATTAATTGACCACATAGAATAAACTGCCTGGTTGCTAACAACTCAGCCCTAATTTTTATTCCTGGTTGCAGCCACCTCAAAATACTGTGGGCGTGTGTTTCCATACCCACCCCTGCCTTTCCGCTACAGATAGGAGCCAGTGTCCATTAATATCTTTGTAAAGGGCAGGCTACAATTAGGTCTGAGCTTTGCACCTTTCTTAGCTGGCTTCCTTCCTTGCCTTTCCCCGCTGCTAATTTGGCTTCAAGAATGGCAATGGCATAAGGAATGTCCCAACAGTTCCAATGGAAGATGCAACCAAGGGGATGATCCATCTCAAATTTGAAGCCCCAAGGAGAAGGTGGCACCTAGGCATTCCTCCTTCTGTTTCTTATCACTTGCTTACTCAGTGCGATGTGTGCCAGCTTGATGCATACATAGAGGCAGGAAACATTTGATGATCCAAGAATATGCTATTCTTCTTGCATACAGTATTTTAAGATTGAAGGATCTCTTGTTAAAGTTGAGTAAGCGTAGCTCAGCAATCACTGGTCACTTCCTTCAGAAATGGGTAAAACCACCTTTTCAGTCAACTCATGAAAGATTAGACTTAGGAGGAATGTGTCACTCTTCCAGGAAGAGTCTGACATGCTAATTTCAGTTAGGCATACATTGCTTAGATCTTTCAAAGAAAAACAAAATATAAGAGCAAATTCAACTAGAGTCAAGAAGACAACTGGAGAGAATTGAGAGTTCAGCACTGTCATGGCTGGAGAGCTCCTTCTAGCTGCCATGTCTGGTTTTGTCTCTGTGTGAATGGTCTGGAAATATTACTGAGACTAAATCAAGAAGGCTGTAATCACCGGTACTCCTAAACTTTGGACTGATTCTAGACTCTCTTTTGTATGAGAAGGTTCTCAGAAGTTATGCAGAAGGACATTTAAGATGTTCTTGAAAGATACTTGGAAAACACAAATTCTAGATCTAATTTAGTCTAGATTTGGCCTTGTTTTGGGCAGTGAATTGGCCTTGGTTGGACTGATGGAGAATCTTTCCTGAGAGAAGGACAATGAGTGCTCTCCTGTTGCTCTTATTGCATTATTCAGTGGCTTTTGATACTATTGACCATGCTGTTCTCTTGGATGGACTTCATCAGTTGGGTATCAAAAGGGGCACTTTCTGATGGTTCTGATCAGACCTTCAGAGTTGGGGTCAAAGAGTAATAGTAAAAAATACTAATTAACCTATTATAAATAGTAATGCACCGTACTCATTTGTCCCAAGGATATGAATCTGTTGGGATCCAGGTAAAGGTATGACTTGAGGAGGGTAGCAACATTCTTGCTTGCCCCTCATGGTTTTCCATGGATTCCACAATTGCTGGATTATGTAGTGTGCTATGTATCACCTGTAGTCTGATCTTCAGTAGTTTTTGGCAGAAGGAAAAGATAGGAACTCACAGGTTGCACTCAGTGCTATGAGCCAATTTATAACATTCTCCAGGAATGACACTATTGAGGCTGTTCATTCTATCTCATTTTGATCTAGGGAGCACAGGTGCTCCTTGACAGTTATTCCTCTGATGCTTCCAATCTTCCTCTTCCTCTGATGAATTTGTGCCCCCAGCTCTGCAGCTGCTCTGGAATTAAGAAGAAATATTCACAAAAGAGGAGGACATGATTTGGAGTGGGGTCCAGGGAGGATGCATTTCTTCTGATCCTTTTCTTTACTTTTGAAAGCCTGCTCCGGCACTTGATTGGGAAAACATTCAAGTCATTGATGAGGGACATTTGCAATGGTTAACTCAAGACACAAATGACAGAGACCATGACATCTGCACACAGCACATTCCATTGACACAGCAGCACAAATGCAGCCTTTCTCCACATGATGCCTCCAGACATTTTGGACTTCAGCTCCCATAGTACCCACATTGGGCCTCACTTACTGGAAGTTATAGAAGCCATAATATGGAAAAGAACTTTCACATTAAAGTACATACAATATTGCCCATGATATTGTAATACAATATAATAATAATAATAATAATAATAATAATAATAATAATAATAATAATATATTATTATTATTATTATTATTATTATTATATATTACATGTAATATTACTAATATTGCAGTGTAGTGGTATAGGACAATTTAGCATATAATACTAATATTGTGATATGCTAATATATTGTATGTACATATAACTTGTAAGCTGCTCTGAGTCCTCTTTGAGGTGAGAAGGGTAGGATATTAATGTCATAAACAAACAAACAAACAAACAAACAAGGTAAAAATGA